GGCCACGAAGCTTTGGCTCATCGGAGCTCGCAATCTCACGGTCGAAGTCGACGCAAAATATATCAAGGGTATGATCAACAATCCGGATATCGTTCCGAACGCTGCGATGAACCGTTGGATCGCCGCCATTCTTACCTTTTCCTTCAAACTCAAGCACGTTCCCGCTCGGGATCACACTCCGGCCGATGGCCTTTCACGACGAAGAAGAGCCGAAGAAGACCCGGTCCTTGTAGAAGATGTCGAGGGCTGGATAGACGAAGCGTGTGGTTTTACTTTACAGGTTCACTCGGATGGCGACGCCTCTGTCTCTCGGGTTGCGCAGAACCGTTTCCGGGGTCATCTCGGGTCCCTCGTCCGCGCTTTCATCTATGATGAAGACTCTGCTGGATTCAACGACTCCGACGAATCCGAAGACATCCCCCGGACTCCGAGGGCCGCGGGTAAGGACGCCCGGATGTTGGAGATAGAGACCTTTCTCCGGACCAGCAAGACTCCCGTCGGACTCACTGAACCCGCCATGCGCAACTTTGTTCGACAAGCGCTCAACTTCTTCTACCGCGATGGCAAGCTCTGGCGCAAGGATAACCACGGGAAGCATAAAGTCTACATTCATCCGGGTCGCCGTCTCTACCTGATCCGGGCTGCTCACGACTCTCTCGGACACAAGGGTATCTTCGTCATCCGCACGCGCCTCCTTGAGCGATTCTGGTGGCCCTTCCTTGACCAGGACGTCCGCTGGTTTGTCAAAACTTGTCATCAGTGCCAGATCCGCTCCAACTTCAAACTACACATTCCGCCGTCTCCGACGATCCCACTTTCCCTTTTCCGCCGCGACCACATTGACTGCATGGTGATGCCCTCCGCCAACAAATTCAACAAGATAGTCCACGCTCGATGTGCTCTTACCTCTTATCCGGAGTGGCGCGCGCTTCGCCGGGAGACCGCGGAGACACTGGGCATGTTTATTTTCCAGGAGATTCTATGCCGCTGGGGCGCCATTGAAGAACTTGTGACGGATAACGGTACCCCGTTTGTGAAGGCAGTCGAATATCTCGCAGAAAAATACGGCATCCGACACATCCGAATCTCTCCGTACAATTCCCAAGCCAACGGACTCGTCGAGCGGAGACACCGGGACGTTCGGGGCTCGCTCCTGAAGACTGCGGATGGCAATGAGAAGAAATGGGTTGAAGTCGCGCCATCCGTCTTCTGGGCCGAGCGCGTCACCATTTCCAAAACCTCCGGAATGTCTCCTTACTACATGGTACATGGCATTGAGCCCCTCTTTCCGTTCGACCTCCACGAAGCTACCTATCTCGCCCCTCCTCCCGATACCACTCTCACCACTGAACAACTCATCTCAATGCGCGCCCGACAACTCCAGAAGCGTCCGGACGATATCGAACGTATGCGGGAGAAAGTTATTCGGAGTCGGATCGCCTCCCTTGAGGAATTCGAACGTCGGTTCGCCCGGACGATCAAGGACTTCAACTTTCTTCCCGGACAGCTTGTTCTCGTTCGCGACAAGAAAATAGAAGGAGATCACTCACTTAAACATCTGCCTCGCTACATGGGACCTATGGTTGTCGTCCGACGCACTCATGGCGGATCCTACGTCCTGTCCGAACTCGACGGTTCCATCTCAAACCTACGTTATGCAGCATTCCGCGTCATTCCGTACTACGCCCGACACCGCCATCTCCTTCCCGTTCCCCAATCTGCGGAACCCGATGGCTCCGAAGAGTCCGAAGATCTTCCGGAAACTCAGCCCGCTGCGAACTTCGCCGGACTACAAAATACGACGAACGACCGAGTTTTGACGCCTTCGCGGCAGCCTAACCGTCTAGTACTCTAAAATTTTTTCCACCCAGACCAGGGTTCGCCCTGTGTTGTATCCCGGACCTCGGTCCTGTTCCGTCTCTCATCTTTCACCCCTCTCATTTGATCTCCCTCCTGTCCGATCCTTATATTTCCTTGCATTTGCCTCGTATGCGTTATCCGACGACTCCGGTGATCCTCTCTCCCTCGGAAGCCTTCGGACCTGCTGGTTTTACGCTGCGTCACTTTCTTTCGCTTATGCTCACTCATGCACTCTTCTGTTTCTGTTCGCAAGAAAAGCCGCTATATTTCTTACATATATTTGCCAAAAAATTATCTACGGGCCAAGCGCCCTTTTCTCGTCTGACCTACTTCCCGTCGTACTCCGCGTCATCCGCCATGTGTCCGTCCGCCTCTCGTTCCTCTTCCTCCGCCGCTTCTGCCCGTTGCGCCTCTTCCAACTCCCTCCGCAGGATGAGGGCGGCCAAGCTCCTTGTCGCCGCTGCCCGGGTGCTCTCTGCGTCCTCCGTCGCCTGCTTCAGGGCCGCGATCCGAGCGTCCATCGAGGACATGGCCTGCACGATGGTTCGGAGCTCGTGGTCGGCGCACGCCTCCACAAGGATAGGGGTAACGGCGCTCCCCGTCGCCGCCCTTGTTGTCCGATTGCTTTCCCCCACTTCTCCTGCCCGGCGGGTCCGACTTCGTTGCACGACCGTGGCACGCCGCTTCCTTTTTTCTCCCGGATTCTTGCTCCCTGAAGCTTCGGCCTCCGCTGCTCTCATCTGCCTGGCGCGTGTCTTCGCGTGCGAGCACTTTACTTTTGATCCCGTGCACGTCTCGCACGCGTGACAGCCGGTTCCGACGCAGGTGAAGTATCCCTGCTGGCAACGGAAGCAACGCCTTGCCTCCGAGAACTCCACGGTCGGATGCGGGCAGGACTCTCGCGAAGCTCCGAACCCGCAGCCCCATTCGGCATTGTTAGGACTTGAGCTCGCATCTATTGGAGCCGGTTAGTCGTCTGATGACATAGGTTGGTACCGCTTACCTGCCGGACTGTATTCGCCGTACTCCAGCACGTCGAGAGGCGCTGGCGGTGGCGGGGTCCTCGTCTTTGCCTCCTCCGTGTTGTCCGCCCGCTTCCGGAGTCGCTTTGCTCGGGGCGTCGTCTCGGGCTCTCCGGCGTCGCTCTCGACAGCCTTCCGCTTTCCGGCCCTGATCGCGCTCGCTCGCCGTCCGCGTGTCCGTGGTATGGGCGTGCTATCATCCTCTATGTCCGAGGTGATATCTATCACGTCCTCCGGGGCCTGCGTTCCGGCAGGCTCACCCACTGTGCTCCCACTCCCGCCGCCGACAATAACCGAACCGGACGCAATTTTTGCGTTTCGCGCTGCCTGTCGACGGGCCTCAGCCGCGAGCGCGTCCCTTCGGCGAGCATCACGCACCTCCGCGGCCTGCCGAGCTTCCTGTGCCCGCTGCTCCTCCAACGCCGCCGCCTCCTGTTGTCGTTCGTATTCTTCGTCCCGTCGCTGTGCCTCCGCGGCGTCCCGCGCCTCCCGTGCTTCCCGTTCGTCCTCTGCTGCCCATTCCGCAACCTGACCCTGCGCCTCCAGCAGCTGCCCAGTCGCGGTCGCCATCTTCGTCCGGACCTCGTCCTCCACGCTGCCCTCCAGCCTCCGCGTTACCAAAATCTCCTCAGCGGCCGCCAACCAGTCCTAGAGTCCGTCAGTGACGAACGAGGGCGCTGCTAGCACCACTCACCTGTTGCTGCTCCATTTCCGCGACAGCTAACTCTACGTCGGCGCGATGCTCGTCATCCAACTCCGGCATCGCGTCCCCCATCCCGGCGAAATACTGAACTTCCGTTTCGTACGCAATAACCGCCTCCTTCTTCTTCATCGTCCGGAGGTCTTCGGTCGTGTAGGCGGGGACGTGCTGGGTGCTGTGCGACATGGATGGATGATGTTGGAGGTGATGAAGAAAGAAGAGCAAGAGCGAGTGTTGGACTTCGTCGAATTATCAACAAACCGTCAGGTGACCGCGCTTCCTTTTGTCCCACACCGCTGTTTTGGTTCACCCTCCCACCTTCCCACTTCGCAATTCTTGCTCGCCGTGTACGTTGCCCCGGGGGGTCAACACATAAAGTCCCCGGGGGATGTAAGGCTTGTACCCTTCCGTTCCGTGCACTCCGACTCCCCCTATCCCCTGGCGACCCCTCTCCGACTCCTCGGACGCACTCGCACATGACTCGGACGTCACGAACCCGTACCGGACACACGTGATATCGGATCAGACAGCGCGGATCAATCTTTCGTATATCTTTTGTTCTCGGACTCTAATACTTGGACTACACTAGCACCATTATTCGTTCCTGGTGCCTTTTCGTCTCGGACTTTTCCTTCATCTGACATTTTCTTAGCTACAAAAGCCTCCTGTACTCGTAGTTAGAAGAATCAGAATTGTTTCCCCCCCACATCGAGTCAGATTCTAAGCCGTCCGAACCTTTCTTCTCATCCGTTGTCAGAGTCTGCCGCTGTCCGAGTCCGAGCCCGAGTCCGATCCGAAGTTGCTTTCTCCTGCCTTCCTTGTCATTCTCCTGCCGTCCTCGTCGTACTATCCGAAGCCAAGTTATCTGTTTGCGTCCGAGCGCGTCCGAAGGCATCCGAAGCCGTCCGAAGCGTCCGAAGTTTCTCAGTTGTTCGTTTTCACTCTCGGACTCATCCTTAGCACACTTTACTCACGCGGGTGTCGCACGGACTTGTCCTGCCGGAGGCGGACCCTCGCATTCTACTAGACTACACTACTAGTCTACGCGTACATTCACTACTACAATACCCCCCCAGGTTGAACCTCGCTTAACCCTGAAACACTGCCACAACGGTTTTGTGCAACGGTTTTGCGAGATCATAGTATTGCACCCAACACTGGGTTTTGGGAGGTTCATACATATATTCTGTGCTACTAGTTTACTTAGATACCCACTTGAATGAACCAAAACCATCATGCAGCAGTGTCGAAACCACGATGAAATGGTAGCAAGGCCGAATTTGGACTCATTGGGTAATCACAATTGCTAGGTTATAGCTAAGTGATGCTACGCGTACACACGTACAAACTCATAATTCACGAACGCGACTCGGAGCTGGTGAGACGCGAACGAAACACGCTATTGAGGATTCAATACTATGTCATCTATGGATGACCACCTCTTTACTCAACCTCGCCATCCATGTCATGGCACAATAGTCACTCCCAATACCATAATTAATTCCCAACGTCATGCAGCCTACTCAGACGCGACAGGCTTTGAATATGAATTGGCACTGGCAAGCATACTTGGTCCGGATGTTGAAGAAGTTGACAGCATGATGTGGGGCACACCGGAAGCAGAAGAGACGCAGGCTCCTCCACTGGTGTATTTTAGCGCACCTGAGGATTCCGGGGATCCAGTCATGCAGAAGACAAACAGCAGCGAACCAACACCATTTGCCCATCCTACAGTTCCCCCTTCATCAGGAGATATTTCGATGGGACTTGAATCAGATATGTGCACCATTTTCGAGGCAGCGGAAGTCTTGCACGATGACACAGCACCGGTTTTCCTTGCCAACAGTATGGACGACACCGGTATATTTGCCGATTACTCATCAGAGCTGGCTCCTGAGCCAACGATGTTGGATTTCACGGCTTCGGGGAGCAATGATATTGTATATCAAGCACATGAACCGTTGCTAGATGGGGCCGGTGACGGTGCAACTTTTGGATGGCTCGACGGTGTCGATGGGGAGAGTAGCCAGGTATCGGAATGGCTTGACATGGAGCGCTTCAACACTCCAACCTTGCCATCCACACCAACCTCTTCGCTGCCTTCAGGGGAGGACACCACATCACTTTCCGGTGCCGATATATGCAGTAACACACGGCGCCAAAGGTCATTCGAGAAGATCCCATGTCCAAATGGGTGTGGCCGACAGGTGGGAGGGCAAGCTTGGCATCTAAAACAACACATAGAATCGGGAAAGTGTGCTGCAGGTCGTACTCTCAGTCAGCAAAGGAGCAAAGAAAACAGGGATCCAACCTACCAGTACGAAAAAGCGAAGTCGAAGTCGAAGTCGTCATCCATGATAAGAACTAGCGAGGGGTCCATGGCTACCCACAGACAGCCTGCCGGTTGCAGTCGACCTGCTGAGCCAGCACCGGCGGTCCAATTTGATTTGGATGGGTTGTGGGGAACAGGATGTCCTGGCGTTCAGATAGATTGGAACATAGGCAACATCTTCTCGACATTTCCCTGGCAGTTATTTGAGCGAGAAGATTTGGGGTTTCGGCTCTCACATGCGGCGGGGTGCGGCAATACATGGGTTCTTCGGCTACGTTCCTCTCGATGTGACCCACTCTGCGATACAGGTGGTACCACTTGCCAGGATTGCTCGACTATCAGATCCCAAAAGATGTTGAAAGGTGCTGAGCAGCGAGCTAAACTATCCACCTCCGAGACAACTCACCTCAATACTATCTATCTCACACACGCACAGTCAGCAGCTAAGCTGCTCAAGAAGCAGGATCGGATTGAAGCCCTGAAACAAACAGTAAGCACATAGTCTCCTCATTACATGCAATTGGGCTCACAATAGGGGTGAATGTAGCTGCGTCGAAGGGAGCATACCATTGATAGCGTGCAGAACCGAATAACGGATCATCAACGTCTGCTATCTGCCATCGCAACAGAGAACGTGAACCGTATACAGCATCTCATAGCATCAGGAATCCGAAATCATATGAGTCCGAAGGCAATGATTTCGGAGATTGTGAACACAATTACCAATGTTCGGCATGTAAAACAATTTGGCCAGACAGACCTTGACATTGCTCTCCTTGTTCGCCACTTTGGAGGTCGCAAACTGCTATTTGCGCTGTCGAAAGCCCTTGGGTTACCTACAATAAGGAGCCTCAATAAACTCACGCACCGTTCCAATTTCTGTAAGGGGACACTCCTATTTTCTCTTCTTTCCTTCATCCCATGGACTCTTACCTACATTCCCTTCGTTCCCCTTCATTCCTTTTCGCTCCCTTTCCTTTCCACTTCCTTTCCGCCCACTCCTTTCGCATCCGAGCCACGTCCGGTGACTCCGGAGTCTTCCCGCACTTCGGACACTTCGGACTTGCTCGGACTCGTTTCGGACACTTCGGACTCGCTCGGACTCGTCTATACTCTTCGGGGCTCGTCCGGGTTACCTCTATCCTCCTCTCCCACTTCGTTATTCCTTGTTCCCACTTCCCCAGGTCGCTGGCACGACTCCTGTACATTCCCCTTCCACTTCATTATCACATGCCCCCTCGTACCTTGTGATATTCGTTCGTACCTGTGGCTGGTGTACTGTACAGTTACCCTTCATTCCTCCCACGCTACTACAGTATATACTTCGCTTCCTAGCATGGAGAATCCTTATCCTGTTCTCTTTGGATTCTCCCTCTGCTAGGTGAGCAGCTCTCTCATGTATTGTAGTTAGTCTTATTCATCTCTTTGGATTCTCCCTCTGCTAGGCCTGCGCTGTCGGCCATCTTGAGGTTGCCCTTACAATTTCCTTCCATGTCCTGGGACCCCTCAGCTTCCCTTGCTCCTTCGAAACCTTTCCGGCAGTTTCCCAGTTGATGCTTCACAACCGGCAAGATATGGCGGATACTGTCTACAGGTAGATGGAATTGCGATCCGCCCAACTGTTCGCTGGATACACCGAATCAACTCGATGGGTGGCTTGTGCCATGAGCACGTTGATGGTCTCAATGTCTCTATGCGTACTTTTCATTCAACAACGCGAACCTGGGAAGCGGTACATGGCGAAGAACCTACTTGTCATTATGGGAGTGAGGCAACAGTTGTGGTTGTTGGCGCCTTCGATGAGGTCAATTACGCACCACGTCCTGTGCTCGTTTCCGCAAGCTGCAAAGCCGAAAAAGGAGCCGAGTTTGCAAATTTGGTCAGGCTATTGCGAAGGGGGTGGGATCAGCATGCGAGGGCAAAATACGGCAATATTTGGTGTATCTCCACGGATGGTGCAGCAACAATGCGGCTTGGATGTCATCAGGTTTGTACAGCAGAGGAGCTAAAGAGTCATGATCCCCTCTTTAAACATCTCGGTGGCCTTCTGGGGATGAATCTTGCGTGCGGGTCAGACAATTTGACCTACTCATCGGACCCAAAGCACTGCATAAAACGTGAGTGAGACAATCGTGGCTGCCCTATTGCTGCGCCAGAACTGATATCCTAGCATGCAGGTTTAGCGACACTGCTCCGAAGCAAGACAGGAATAATGATTAACAAGCAGCAAATTAATTCAAGCCACTTACATTCGTTCCTCGTCTTGCTTGACGGCGAGGATGATAAGAGTATCCAGGCTCTAATCGACCCAGCTGATCACCAAAACGTCCCTCGAGCGATGAAATTGATGGTCACTATCAGCAGACTTCAGTTGCTGGGAACATCCTGTATACGGCCGATTGACCAACCTATTCTCAACGCCCTTCTAGCGCTTGACGACCTCCTTCGAGCCTTCTACGAGCCATTTGTAATACCTTCACTGTCACTGGGAGAGCAGCTTGCATCGCTTGCGAAGTTTGCGTTCCTTGCTTTTGCGCACCACCGGCTTCATGGCACTGGGTTCATGACGAATCAACTGTATGCAGACCTCCAGGGTGTTGTAAAGACAGCCTTCTTCAATGTGGCCAAACAGAAGGAGGTTGACAGCTCGAAACCATTCTACCTTTACCAGCAGGGGTCCGATCGTTTGGAGCAGATGATTGGGGATGTTCGAACAATGTCGCATGACCAAAACGTCGATGTTCTACAGCTTTGTGAACGGCTCTCTGACTGTATCGACGTCAATCACATTTTTGCTCGGCACCCCGATTGGAAGGGCGCGCACCGTAGATTGTCCTACACGGGGACAGAAGGAGTTGACCACGTCAACACTTGGTATTTCACGGGAAATCTCATTGTGAACGATGTTGATCTTGACAGTGCGTGGAAGTCTGGCCAAATCGAGGCTGAGTTGGCGTTACAGGCTCGCTATATCCCATTCGGTTTCAACGATGTACTGCGGACCCATGATGTAGATTTCTTACGATCGCACGGGAATGGGAAATTTGTAGGAATAACAGAGTTGGAAGGGGAGGATACATCAATTATCGCTGATGTCGAGCCTGTTGATAACGACTCTTCCGAAGATTGTCCAGGCTTGGAATTGGGGGCAGAGGCGGAGCTGGTGAAAGATGAATTAGCAGATGAAGATATTCACCTTGACAATCTCCTGGCAGACGAACCAGACGAGAGTGGAGACTTCTCCACTTCAGAAGATATACCCGCTGACTGGCTTCCAGTTCCAACCAAGAACGGCGACATGAAGCTGGTCCACAAAGCCTCAATTTTGGCATGTATGTTCAAGTCGGGGGCCACCAAGCTTTCAGCCGACCGGCTGTTGCGTGTCCGAGGGTACACGAAGGACTTCAAGCGTGAGGAAATAGTGATTTCTGTGGGAGAAGAGATGCTACGTGTCAAGAATATGGCAATCAGCGTCATTCAGACATCAAAGAAGCAAATTGTACCAGTTATGTTTGCCGTCACTTCACTCCTAAAGGCTGGGAAGTTGATGCTGAGTGTCGATGTTGCCGAACTGCGATCAGAGAGGGCATCAGATATCCAGGTGACAGGGCAAGTGCTTTCTGCAGCGTGCTGTGAATTCAGCACTGAGATGGGGAAGATGTTTGGCTTCGTGTGGGATGGCGGATACTTACAGTTTACCTCGCCGACACGATCCTCTCAAGCGACTCGACAAGCTTCAATATCCGCACCAAGACCCAGAAATGGGTATAAGGACTCTCAGGTTCTGCCTTTCCCCAGCCACCTCGTCTACCCATTGAATGAAGGTCTCATTCCCGTCAACCGCCTACCAGATGGGATTACCAAGCAGCTACTCGAGGCCGTTAATCACAAGAATGCAGCATTCATGCCCATGTCCACCTTTTATGAGCATGTTGAGAGGTTCAACACTCTTCCCGACTCTGCATTTGAGAAATTGAAGAATGCCGGAACGACTCCTGGACTACCCTATCGGAATGAATCAGGTGAGATGTCATCAACTTTGCATGGCCGACGCCAGATTTCTGATCAATATCAGGGATTCCATGCATCATCAATGACGCTACTCAGGCCCTCACCAGTAAACAGATTGTGACCGACTCCGGCAAAGTAGAGTGTCATCAATGTGGCAACTTAATTCACCTTGCAGATGGACGGGCGCATGTCAGCGAACATATTCTCTTGAAGATGCTTGGGCTACAAGAACTTGGTCTCCGCGAAGAGGTAAGCAATAATTGGGTTCAAAAGAACACCAATCTAATCTTCTATCAGATATCCAACGAGATCGTGAAAGTCTGCGGGTTCTGCGGGAAGCTAACGTGTGGACCGACATCCATGAAGCCGCATTCACGTACAGAAGTCACATCACTATGTCCCCGAATGCACTCGTTCTCCCTAGGACACGCCAGCAGATCATCAAAAGGACACCCATCTACAAATGTCCCCGTTGGTTGTCCATTCTGCCCCGCTTCCCCTTCTTGCCCTCCGCCAGTCTTTTGGAAATACTCGATGTTCTTCCACATCCAACAAGCACATTCACGCTACTGGGACAGTGAGGCACATCAGCCACGCAATCTTCCACCAGATTTACTAAACAATCTTCAGGTGACTCTTTTGGAGATCAACTCCATCAGAAACCTGCATCCTCGCATATCTAGCGCTTGCACACCCCTTATTGCTCTACCCTTTGACCCAAACATCACAGGTCTCAGGCGCAAAGACCCGCCGACCGCAGATGTCATGGTCAACTCGTGCGGCATGAGCAGCTCACGAAAGAAACCCCGTCTCTCCCGTTAACGATGTTATTGGCTTATGCCTTGTTTATTGTTCCTTCTTTTAATTGCGCTTATAGGTTTACACCCCTTATAATGTACATACTCTCTGGCCAGGCCCACTCCCCACTCAGAGTTCAATGCGGCTCTACGTCGCTCTGTACCTATTCCCTGTATAATTTGTGCTATTTTGCGAACCTCCGCTCATTTACCTCCTAGTCTAATAAATTATGATTTAATTTCCATTTACTAAACAAAGGAAATAATGAGTATATGGACGTCACTGGTCTCGACCTGCCGCGTTGGAAGCTGGGTCGAGGACGTGTCCTTTTTTAGTCTAGCGCAGTCTCAAGCGAGGTTGGAGGTTGGGGGTACAGCCACAAAGGTTTTGAGGGCTACCTTCTCGCTTTTCTTATCGCGCACTCCCCTTGATTCTGCATGCCCGCACACAGGGCCGATATTGGCCACGATACGCGCCGCGCTAACCACCACGCTCAGAAAGCGCAGCAGCAGCAACCCACCCGCGGATGCGGTCGACGCACGTCCGTCGGCCGTCCTCTCGTGGCTCATCCTGATGTCTTTAAATTTGTAAATTTGTTTTACGGAATACAGATGCAACGAGCTGCTGATGTATGTGCGTGGGGTGAAGTGCGTGCGCCGTAAGCAGGCATTGGTGAACAGCCTAAGCCTACGATATGTTTACGTTTACGTTTACGCGGGAGGGCGCGAGGAATAGGAGGTTTCGCTACGGCGTCGGGTGGGCTTGCTTCCTCTCGTGCAATTTCCTGCTAAGAACGTAGATACTAGGCCTGGCCCCGTTGACTCCCGATGCTTGCGTAGCCACCAAAGAGAAAGAGGAGGCAAAGGGCCCCCTCCCCGAGGTCCCGAGGTCCCGGCGCAAGTGGTCAACGGGACGGGGGTTGCGCTGCGACTTTGCTTCAGCGCGATTGCCCACTGGGATCCGTACGAGCGTTATGCCGCTTCGTAGGCGAGGGCTGGATCGCCGATTCGATGGTCCGCAGAGCCTATGGGCCCGTCGTCGTCTTCAGCTCACGGACCACGGACTGCGTTCAACGGGTTGAGTAAGAGCTGGAGAGAGGGCGGGGGTGAGGGGACTCCCGTTTGCAGAGGCGCAATACCTCCCTTATCCGCAACCGAATTTCCCGTGTACGGAGACGGATTATCGGGCATCGATATCGATAACGCTCCCCACGACGTTATGTCGCAATCTGTCTTCGAACGCGAGTCAAGGTGGGTATGCGCCGGGGTGCGGGTGCGGGTGCAGGTGCGGGTGCGTCGTGTCGTGTCGTGTCTCTGCATGCAGATGCAGCGGAGAGGCGGAGAGGCGGAGAAGCTATGCCTCGTCAAAGTCATATGTGGTGGTTCACAGAAGGTAGCGTGGTTCTCTGCATGCTTCTAGGTAGGTAAGCTGGCCCGCTGGCGCTGACTCTCGCTTCGCACCGCCGGACTGCGATCTGTCAAGTTCTTCGCGGGAGCCTCTGCGGCGCACAAGCACACACATGCGGCTAGGCGCGCTGTCGACGACGCTTCGACAGCCATTTCACTGGTAATGATCTACGGAGTGGTCCAATGAGGTCTGTCGGCCGTTTCGTCGATAATCTTGGGGCGGCTATTGATGCGCGCTGTCTACTTCTCTTCATGCACTGACCATCGCACTGACGACGTGCCGGCTTGGCTAGCGAGAATCGTACAGTCTCGCCGATTTCGGACTGTGATCGTCGTGCAGCGTCAGTCAAGTCACCAACGCTATGTCTGCTGCTCTATGTTTTGTGTGTTGTGCAATGCGCAACAGGTGACCCGAAAGTCCACACAGGCCGCGCGCTGAGATTTGGCGTCGCTGCTTTGTGGATACGATGCTGCACAGGGCGGTTCGCGGCCTCCGGGTGTCTGTGAGCTGGAAAATGCTGATTTATACCTTCGTCTTCTACGAAGCATGGCCGCCCCCCTGTCTGCCGCGCAGCCGCGGTCCTTTGTCCCTCGTGCTGTTGATAGAGCGGCGCTGTATCGTGCGTATACGGCGACTCGCTCTCGTCTACGGCAATGGGATGGTCTAGTCCTGTACTACTCTCGTAGCCTCAAGACAGAGAGCTTGTGGCCTCTTCTATCACCTCTTGCCTCTTATGTCCGCCGTGTCTGATCCCGGCCTCGGGTGCGTGTGGTCACGACTGTATCGCGTCTGACCGAGTCTTTCTCGCGTATTAATATTGCACAAGTTCGTCCGATCGCGTCGGTGTGGAGATGGTACGGAGGTACGGGGACTTGCGAAATAGGTACGAATCTAACGGTTAAGTTTAACCTTTCATCTGTGTATCTGTGTATCTCTGATGTTCGTCAATGGTGAACCACGCGGTAACCTTGCATTCACTTTTGTTACACGACGCATACATGTACATCTGCGGTCGCAGGTATAGAGAGTGTGTCCGGTGCGACTTATTTCGTCCTTCCCCGCTGCCGATTCGCTGTCCCGGCCGGCTGGATATTCTGAATGTACTTCTCTCCTCTAACTCAACTTAAAAAATACCAGTCCGTATTACGTCGCTGACGTAGATGGGTGGTACGATCAAAAGAGAGAAAAGGAATGATATGAAACCTCAGAGAAGCGAGGGAGAGGATCTTGCCACGAAAGACGGCGCAATGTGCACAGACCTCCAAGTGCTATCAGGTCTGCATGTGCACGGGCCTTTTTCGTGGGTTAGCAGCCAAACAAAGCCCTCCTGTTGACTACTCTCTTCTCCAAAGCAAGTCTCCACGGAAGAAAGCGTGTTGTCTTGAGCCTCCTTCATTCGACCTCCCTTGCTGAGTTGCTTTTCCCTCTCGCAACCCGCCGCCGTAGCGTATTGCACGTCATGCCTCTCCCTTTGCTGGCTTAGATCATCTCGCCTTCGCCTTCCCCGGTGTCAAAGTACCTCTCCATCTTCAGAAGACGTCGTATATGATGCGTATAGTGCGCATATATCCTCTCCCTTTGCCTCTCACCAGCTCCTTGCTTCCCAACACCGACCCTTCGTGCACGGCGAGTCTCTCCCCCTCCGAGGTCCCCCTACTTAAGCGTCCCATCCTCCCCAAATGCCTTGCACTCGTACGTACTCCTTCGACACCCCGTCAGTCTTCCATGGTGCGCATATACGCAGCGCGCTCTCTTCCTCGCCCGCTCTCGCCACCTGCGTTAATACTTCTAAGAAGTCCCGTCGCCGTGTCCATCGTGTTTCGGCCGTTATATGCGCATATCAATACCTCCCAGTTCTTTACCTCCAATTGCCTTCCCTTTGTGACATCTGTCCTCAATCGTCTCCCTACTCGCGATTTACTGCCCCTTCTCCGTCCTCCGCTCCTCCCCTCGAATCCTCGACTCGTTGCAGACTTCTGGCTCTCGCAAACGTCTCACTCTAGCGGCGTGACGCCCCCCCCGTCTCCTCTCCCGCGCCTCCCACGTTCTCCGCTCCTAGTCCCAGTACTCTAAATCATATTCCCCGCATCAACGGGGCTGTCCCTACTCTCGTGCGTTACTCCCCAATGCAGCACCTCCCCTCCCCTCCTGCCTCCTGCCTCCTGCCTCCTGCCTCCCGCCTCCTGGGGACCAACGACCTCTCCCACACGCTCACATGCTACTGTCGGCATATAAACTCTATTCCGAGTCGCGAGTCCACGATTCTCTCAAGTTGCAAGCCGCAAGCTGTTCAGCATAGGGATCTCGACACTTACATTATCCCGCCTGTTGAGTCGCTGGATTATGTATATTCACGGATTACTTGTTAATTCATGGACTATGTCCGCGCATCGCATCACAGCGTATGTTACCGGTTCCGGCGAGCACGAGCACGAGCACTCACGCGCTAGAGTGTCTTGAGTCTCGATTCTCGCGTGATTTTTCGCTCTCGATAGTCTTGCCCGCTCCATCTCCATAGGCAGGCGCATGCGTTACCGCACCTACCGCGACACTGCAGCGATCGCAGAGTCAACGCCTGCGCTCCCTCGCTCCCTTCCTCGTCAACTCGAGCTCGAACGCTCTACGATGTGCTGCCCCGTGGCTCTGTCGACTTCGACCGTGTTCCGCTCGCCGTTGACATCGCCATCGCCATCTCATCCCCACTCATCGTAATTGTCGCCCAATGCCTTGCGCCTATACGCCGCTTCTACGCGCCTCGTAGCCCCCGTCTTCCTCTGCGCGTACGACCTCCGCAGGGATCGAGCGGGTCGCTGGGTGGGCGATGGGCGAGGTGATGGCTGGCAGTTCTGCGAGCAGACGCGGCGGCGTTGGTCAAGCGAGATCGACAACCCCCGTCGCGATCCTGTCGGCTCGAGTGACAGACGTAGGCGCGGGCGCTCGAGTAGGCAAGGCCGTGGTAGTATAAGTAGTACTTCCTGTGAAAACACTACACAGCGTGCGTGGATTGCGACTGATACATAGAGTTGAGTCGTCTTCCAGAGCCATACATACTTCTCCGGTGTGCGGGCCCTCCACAAGCCGCGCAGATACTCGGTTCGGCACTTTCGAGGTACGTCAGCACGCGTTAGGGATGTACTGTCATGCAACGCACTCTTGCTTGCAAAACGCTTCCCGACCGCCAGCTCCAGCCCCGCAGTCCCGTTTGCGCGTCAACGATGGCGGAGTCCCAGTTCTGAACAAGACGAGGCCGCGGAAGAGCACGTGTGGGGTAGAGCTCGGTGCTTTATCCAGTCCCGGGTTGTTGACGTCGTGGAGTGAAGCAATTAGGCAGGGTGCGGGCATGTGCGATCGAGTGAAGGGGACATGCCCTCACGCCGACCGCAAAGAGCCCTGTATCACCGTCCGTGAGGCCGGGGATGGTAACTACAAGGAAACAGCGCACCTTGTATGACTGTTCTCGCCTCATCGGCTTCCTCTCTTCCGTCTGCCAACGTCTGCACGCTCCAGGTCAGAGGTACGTGTCTCTGTGCACAGCCGCGACTGGTTCTGTATTCCTAACCCAGGGCGATTCCCTTGAGCACTGCAATCATTCAGCTGCCTATCAGTAGCAGTAGTGAGTGCGCACTCACCTGCGCATAGCATCTCTCTCAAGGTCTGCGCACAGATCTCAGCTGCGATGTTGTCATTGGTTACCATTTCGCGGGATGCGAGCTAGGTGTCTCGCCCAACTCGAATAGCACGAGGAAGAGCGTCGCCGTTTGGAGGTACATAGGCATGCCTGCGGTAGAGCATGCCGAGCGGTGCGGGGATGGAGTCAGCGCCGATATTCGTTGCGATACCCAGAGGCTACGCAGTCTGTGGCGACGCCGTCGACAGACTCTCGGTCTCAAGACATTTGGGACGAAGGAACAGTTCGGCGCTTCGCGTAGTTTATTGCTCGGTCCGGTCACAGACATAGCGGTGACGCTGGCCCCGTCCAGTCCAGTCCAAACTTGCAACTTGCAACTCCAAAATCCCATCATCCCATCAACGCTCTTCATACCCGCACGTGCACGTAACGACTTCATTTTTTCATTTATGAAGACGGCGTTATGAGTGATACAAATGCGATCTGCTGGCCCTCCAGGCGTCCCGCCTGAAAATGACGGTTCGGAGAGTTGAGAAGGCAGGACCCGTGCCTCACTCGTAGCGATGGCTACTTGCTATGCAGCGCGACATTCGCGAGCGGTTCGGTACGTCGGCCGTTCTGTTAATGGGTGTAGGTGCTGATGTATTTCTTTCACAGATCCGAAGAGCTGTCCAGTAAGATGTTGGCGGGCGTGTTACGATGTGGGTATGAAAGAGGTGTGACAACGCCACTGCAGCATCAGGTGAGGTCGCCTTCTTCTTTCCAATCACAGGACGCTCCGTTAACGCTCCGTACCGTCGGGAACGGCTCTGGCAGTGGAGCGTTTTGGGCGCGGGTACTTGATTTCTGATGTGTTCGTCCACAGATCCAACGAGTGTATCGTCATATCCACATCGCGTCCAACACACGATCCCTGGAGTGCTCTTTGTCAATCTACCAATCTACGAGAGGCTGGAGGGTGAGTGGATTGGTACGTACCGGTTGGCGCCTCGATGCTGCACTAGGTACGTGTTTCCACTTTCCATCCAATATCCAATGCTGGGCTAACTTTTAGGTTGAGCGGCGTCCACAGATGTGTTACATTCCGCTTCTAACTCCCGCACATACGCTGGTATACAGCGCAGGCCTTCTCTAAACGACATCAACGCGGTGAGGCGAGTCTGAGGACATCGGATCCCTTCGTTTGGAGTACGGCGCATTGACATGGGTTATTCCACGGGGTGTGCTGATTATGCCATGTTTCTTAGGTATATCCGCCCCCCGCAGACTCTACCCGATACGTCGTCGACTCCCATCAGCAGACCATCGCCCGCTTCCGGAGCGCGCTATCCTTCAAGAACCTCGCGCTTGTCTGCAGAAGCAGCTAGAGGAGCTATCGATCGACGACGAGAAGAAATTTCCAGTTATACGGCCAATCACCCCGAGAAACAGCTAGAGTTGAATTCAGGATATTAGGAAAAGTTGGATAAATTATCGTGGATGGAGGAGACTAGGAGACGGACAGCTGGATAGCTCCTCAAATTGCTGCACAAATTGCTCACCATCGAGTTTGATTCGCCGCGATCATCGCCTATACGGTGGAAGTCGCGGAAGTCGCGTAGCCATCGCGGTGTATCCTCAAAGCTTTCTCTGAGAATGTTGAAGTGGATGGATCCCAAGTACAGGACATGCAGGAAAGCTGAATCGGCGGTGCGTGATGAGAACAACGAAGGGTATGAGCTGAAGTTAGTCGTCGCGTGTTTGCGTGTTTTCGGCGAGATATAGGGGTCCCTGTGACCGTGCGTCACTCACTGTCTGGAGCGAGTCAGCGACTGTCTCCTCTCATCCTTCTTCAACGAACGCGTTAACAAGCCTAGTCGTAGTCTTTCTATACTCAAGAGGAAAAGATGGTGAAGTATCTTCGACCGCGTGCGTCCGATTAAGCAGGAGTCGTTCTCTATGTGTACATGCCTGCTTGAAAGTCGGTGTATGCCTGTGAGTCCTATCCCTGGTGCTTTCTCCTTCGCAGCGGCAGCATCTTACCTTGCCACATTACAAGGCCCGTACTCCTTGAAGAAAAACATATCGTATGCGATTGGTACGTGGTCGCGTATGCGCCCACGTTCTGGATGCTGATCTGTTCTCTTTTAGTGGGAACTGCGCTCGCAGCACTGCTACTGCACAAACTGGGGGATTCCTGTCCTTTGGAAAGGTGCTGGTAATATAGGCGTATCAATGGACTCTCAGGTGACACCTCGGTCGGTGGCATCGATATTGGAGCGGTCTAACGTCGGGTTGAACTACTTCCTCATGTGAGCCGTTGCCTCCTTTGACTTTTTACCATTCCCGCTTACCCCACCCCGATACCCAATTTTCCGATTCCCATTCCCCGCATTCCAGCATTCCAGCACGCCAATATGCGTGTCGTGTCCATTCCTTCCCTCTTTGTTCGCCCTTGCATTGGCGACACGACTCATCGTGCTCTCTAAGGCAGGTTGTAGCAGCTCATGCCGCCATACTGCGGCTATAGCGTCGGGGCAGAACGTGGACGCCTCCTCCTCTAGCTTCGCCCCCGAAATCTAAAACAAGGAAAGCCAGGGAGTTGACTCCCTGGCTCTTTGTGGGCGCGGCGGCGTGCTCACACGGCTGAGGTATGATAGCTTCGGAGCTACACCTCGCCCGCCAACGTCGCCTCTTTAGCGCAAAGACTCACGCGACTTCAAGGTGTGACTCACCATCTGGTCCCGCGATATGAGCTCGAAGAACCCTCCGTAATCAGATAGGGCGACTCCCTGCTCACTCAAATCTCTTGGGGAGCCAAACGCCGTTGTCTGTGGCCCAATTGCCCGTTAGGCAAGATGCGTTGACAGCTCCCTAGGGTCCCATTCTTGGTCGTCGTATGCTGGTGCACCAGCACCCATCCACGTACTTGGATTCATGGCGCCTAGGAGAAGTTATTGGACGCCGCTGTCGCCAGTTGGAGGGGCCGATGGGTTCCGTGTCTCCGGAGCGTCGAGCGCAGTCACTCAGCAGGATAACGGGCGACTGGAGCGATTCTCCCCGGACCACGATCCAGGTGCGTAGCTGTCTTCATGCGCGTCGCCCCCCGCCCTTTCTCACGAATTTCCACGGAAACAGGTCTCGCGTTTGATTCTTCCACCACTTCTGCTATCCGTCAGACTATTCGAGATGCGGTATCTGGGATCTTGTATCGCCGTTTGTGTAGATATGCCGTAGATTTGGATAGACACAGATATGTTAATGGACGTTACCACCACCAAAATATTTGCGCTATGGGGTAGGAAAGCCCTTTCCGGGGTAGAAACAGCTTGGACTGAGGTTTGCATGGGCCTATTACTTGTATACAACATCCATAATGGAAGGGGTCTATCAACGGCGACGCTCGCCGCCACCAACGCCGAGAGAGAAGAAGACTTCGAGGCGGGCGGGGAGGACGTTGGCAAGCTAGTCGCCATTCTCCGACGAGGCGCGTACGTGCGAGCGTGGGTCGGCCACTGTCAAACACGATGATTAGAGGATGCATCGCGCGTCACGTCGTCACCGGGACGTCACCAAGGTTCCTTTCTCGAGACACTATCCACAGCATGGTTTTCGTCTCAGACGCCACCTCCTCATGCATACGACGGCTTTCGTTCCCAACGTAACCTTCGTTTGCCAAGGATGGAGATAAGGGCGCACGATAACGTTATCGAGGGACGTGGTGATGTGACCGTTTGGAATGGTGGGCGTGTCATCGACGTGAGGGACATCCTGGGAGACGATGAAGGCTTTCTAGCCGCTTTCATAAACCTGGATATCTGCAATTAATGGGAACGGTGATCACTTCGTCCATATAACTAAATCAGTCAGTAACTCGCATCGCTCGTGGCCCTTTCGTGGTACTTACATGGCATTGGCTCATCCGGCGTCGAATTCTTGGCAGAAGTTGGACAGACTCTCAGCAGCTACTGGCTCGCGGTTCTTCGAGTCCCCAATGGCCTCTGTTTTGAAAGGCATTCTTTATGACTCCCACCCTAGTGCAGGGTATCTCCCGGGGTGCGCATGGCCGCTGCTGCGAGCTGAAGTGCTGAGGCGACGTTTTACAAGAGTTTGTTCTAATTAAATATCGTACGCGTCCATCTGTTGCCCTTCCCAATGTACCGCGATCACCTCCACAACGACAGCAGGAACAGCACTTCGAGCCTTCGCAGGCTTAACGCCTTCTGCCCCTCCAATTCGTGATGGCGGTGTCGTAGTGTAGCAGGCTTGGATGGTCTTTCATTCGTAAATCGCCTCCGCAGTCGCTAATTGCTCTGATTTCTGATTTCGTGGGCTTGGGCTGAATCTTCGACAGATATTCAGGCATCTACCTACTTGGTTTGAGTACGATTGTTAATACGACGATTATGTTTCTGCGATCTGATTTTCCATCCATCCATTCGTACATACCTACGAAAAATTGCTCCACAGTATATCAATCCAAACGCCCAAATGACCAATCCTCTGATCCTCTGATCCACTGATTTCCACGGCTCGACACTTTCACCTAGGCCCCGCATATAGAATACTCGTTCCCAAAATGCGCAGGAGCCCCTCTTAATGATCACATCACGTCTGTGAGGAATAAAGTTATGGAAAATCTCTAGGGACTTTCCAACGCGTATCGGCAGTGGCCTTGCGACAAGGCTAGTCGCTATAAAACCCCAAAACACCCAAAACCCGGCTTCCCAGCCTTCCCACCTCTCTGACTCCCTGTCCTCCTGTCCTCCTGTCCCACCTGAAAAACTCGGAAAAGTATCGTAAAACCATAGAAAAACCCACGCAACTACATAAAAGTCAGGAAGCGTCTCGGAGATGCCTGTAGAGCGCTGTGCTCCCGCCCGTCGTCTGCGGTACCGCTTCCACCCGTACGTGCGCCCCGCTGCTGCGCGCCACCGGCGATGGGTGCTCGCGGGCGGTTCAACTGCAACGGCCACCGCTCCGACGACTGCATCTGCAACGATCTCAATGACGGCCACAGTATCAGCAACAACAATGACGGAAACGATGGCGATGTCGACGACAATGGTATGACACTTCGATTTTATGTTTCTGTATCCTCACTGGCATGCTGATCACTGAAATCGGGCAGGCGGTTGATAGAGTGGGAGCTGGGTTCGTGTCCTCGAACACGGGTTCACCGCAGCCACCCCCACTACAAGAAGAACCAGTCGCCGTGGAGCAGCTGCAAGGACCACATCTCCCACTCCCAGACCCTCTCATAGTCCAAGTGCCAGGGGCCGTGCAGGCCACGACGACCGTGGTGAGCAGTCATTGCTGGCAACGAGCATGATGATAGGATTGGCCGCTGAGATTGCGATACATAGGTGCCCCAGGCTGCTGACGTGGTTGATGACGGCGGGTACCGGGCTCCGACGTGGACGGTGACGCTGCAGCTATCTTTGACGGTATGTTTTGCTTCGCTTCTTGTTTTCTGCCCACACAGAATGATGTGCTGATATTCTCTTATGACGAATTAGACATCGAGGAATACGAATGGCGCTCTGACCTCGCAGTAGGCGTTCCATCGTAGAACGTGCTTGTGTGCTATTATTTGGAAGGTGGAAGGTGGAAGGAAGCGAAGGAGACCACAGAACAGGAAAAAAGAGTGAAACAATACATCGAACAAATCTTTTTGGATCTTGCTGCGCCACTCCTGGCCGACGACGACGTGCTCCGGAGCTCAGCGCCGATTATTGGAATCTAGAGCAGAAGAAAACACAAAATCCAACAGCGAATCTACTTCCCGGGAGTCCGGAATCCTTGTACTACAAGTTTCGGAGGTCTGCAAGGCGTAACTTATATCTCATGGTGAAGACTCTTGGAGCTTGGTCTGTGAGCATTGGAATTGAGTATTGTCTGTATCTTTGCGAGTGTCTACACACGGCACTATGAGTTTTTCAGGACTATCATGAAAATACACTGTGCTGATGCTGGGGTACAATCTCGTCGTTGATTGAAGGTACTTATTCTACTACCCACAGTTCTTGACATTCATGATGTTACCTTGTATGAAGGACCTGGATAAAACATTGTCCTGTTGTATGACAGTCCACTAGCCGCGCAAGCCATTTAGAAGAATGCTTCTTCCATGCTCCTATACATCCAGGAGGGATTCAGGAGCGGTTAAGTGATTGTGGGAAGAGGTCGCAGTGATGCCGAACCAAGCAATATTCTTCGCACGCAGATTCTTCGACTCCAACTCATGGGTCAATACTTCAAATTGTACGTACGTTCAATACATGGTTGTCCAGTCACTGATTCATTCATGATAGCATCAATATAGATAAGTACCAAACTGCCGGAAGTGGAAAATTTGGAGAATTCGACGGGCATTGTGCCGCCTTGCTTTTGGCAGCTCGACCCCCGTTGATCACGCTCGAGAAGGCATTCAAGGAGATTTTCAAGTAAGCCTTGCGCCCCCTCAGCCCTCATCTCAATACGCTCTAATCCCTTGACTCCCGGCTGACTAGATACGACGCGCCGGGCGTAGCAGACCGAGCTGCTCTCGGACAATTGGGACAGCTCCCCATCGAACTCATTGCGCAGATCTTCACTCCGTTGAGCATCAAGGAGGCACTTGTCTTCGGCCTGACGCACGGGCACCTCTTCGTGATAGGGTGGCAAGTAATCAAGAAGAAAATCTGTCGTGTCGTGTTCGTAGACGATTGGAGCGACAGTCGTATCATCTGTCTGGGCGACTACGCCAGTACCCTCCCCGAGGGATATTTGTCCGACGAGGAGAAATTCAGCCTTATGAAGAGCGCGATCAAGCGTGATAGGGATGATGAAGCAGACGAGGACGACGGCGATGTTTCAGATGAAGCAGCTGGCGAAGACCACGACGGAAATTCACTTTCTCTCCGGCTCGCTGCGTTCAAGGACCAGACTTTTGGCCTGTACGATGAAAGTCAGTTGATGTACTCGGAGAGGAGAATCAAATCTTGGCGTGTGAGCCACTCTTCGGTCAGCGACTTGTATCGACGCCGGATTAGCAAACTGGAGATGCGCCGCGTCGCGGCGACCTCCCGTGAGCTGGAGTTCTACTATAGATGTGGCCCCTGGCATATCGAGCCACAGCGCTTCGCTGACTCGGTGTTGGTCAATAATACGAAACGGGAGTACGTGAGGGCGGTGGATGCTGCGGGGCGGTATGTGCTTGATGATGCGATTCCGCTGCTGACGGTATGGAAAGACCGAATGCATGGGGATTGGGCTGGGGATCGGCTGGCCCTCCCCTCGGTAGAGGAGTTTGAGACGATGTTGGCAGGAGAGGAAGGCTGGAAGGAAAAGGTTGGAGAGTGGATCTTAAACCCATGATAATGCGCCTGTGGGCTAAGCCACAGACATCATCAGCAACATAGACTAACTCTAACCTCTAACTTCTAACCTCTAACCTCGTTTCTTTTCGTTTCCTTCGTGAATCGTGATCGTGATCGTGTTGTTTTAGACTACTAATTACCTCTCGCATGGATATCCGGATTTGAATTTGGGTCGCGTTTGTGACGGTGGAGAGTATTCGATGCTAGATTTTGGCGATCTTGGTAGTACAGGGGTACAGGGGTACGGGGTATAGGGGTACACGTGACGACGTCACATTACTTAAGTTCGAGCGCCCATGTACTTTTTCTTCGTGCGTTTGCTGGAGTCGGGCCAGTCAAACGCAATACATGCACTCGATTGCTTGAGTACAGCGCGACCCCAGCTTGTTTTAACATGCGGCGCAATTCCGACGGCTTGCGCAATCTGGCAAGTTCAATGCAATACTCACCAACACCGACGCTCACGTTGTCCCCATCGTAGAGCGTTCTCAACCCGAGTATAGACGATTCGTCTGCTGTTCTACGAGCTTAAAGGGCTCATTCTCCACGATTCGTTACCGTCTTTCCTGTCTTCTTTCTTTCGAATATGAACATGGACCACTCCTTCTGTCATCTCTACCCTCCGCAGGGATCCCATGATGGACCCTGGCACAAATATATAAATGACCCGCTCAAGAGCCAGAAAGATGAAATTGACTACAAAAGTGAAAGTAAGGCGACGCTTGGGCGAAAGCCATCGTCGTCACCCGGGCAGCCCAACGGTATTCCAATGAGGAATGAGGACTGTGAAGACAACACTCTCCGTCGTAGAGTGCACTGCGTAGCCCGGGCGAAGTTAACGCTGGTCACTACTCATTTGCGAGCAGAATACCCGGCTTTCACCCCGCTCGATTGGCAATAATGAGACGTCTCATCGCTGGCATATCCAAGTATTCTGCCAGCATCACGTCCTTTACGAGAACACGTCTGGCGGCGGGATACACCTAGAGAAGGCGAAGAAAAAATGGGGTTAGTGCGCGTGTTCGTTAGCGAGTCACTCAGATCATGATTTTGCTATCACTGAATTCAACGAATAGTCGTGCACTGCGTAGTCAATCGTCTTCGATCGGGCAGACGTACGCAGGCGCGATACATATTGCAAGCCGGGAAACGGCGGCGTCTTGTTCCCCGAGTTAACTTCACAAAGATGCCGGCCCCATTTTTCACGTCGTTGGTGCTCGATAATCTTAACCGCGATGCGATTCTCAATCGATCCCGGTAACGTGCCGACTCATTCACACTCATTCACGCTCACCAGCAATGTTCTTCCTGCAGGATTGGTGTTGTTCGAACGAACAAATGTAGTTTGACGCACCTCTTTCTATGCATCTCGGACAACCGCAAAGCTCTCCCACTTGTCGCTCTCCTGCACCCTGACCACGCCGACTGCTCCTAGTTGAGTTCCTCCCTCCTTCTCCCTCCGTCTCCATCACCCTGCGCCGCTCGCTCCTGCTCGTCGCAATCATCCGTTATCCAGCTGCGGATTCACAGCCAAAGGTTAGTAGAACATTCGACACGCCACGTCGAACCTTCTGGTCCTTGTGAGCGATAACGAAGCTAGGGGAGAAGATCACAGGCCCAATCTTCGCTGCCTCTTCGTATCCCCGTACCTCCGCTCGAGCCCGAGTGTCCAGCATACCGTCAAGACGTTGAGCGCCTGAGGAACCAAGGCGAGGGAGAGGGGAGAGGGGAGAGTATAAGAAGCGGGCATTGGATGATAGACGAGAGGAAAGAACGGGACAACTTTCAGGATACGCAATACTCACTGAATCGTTGAGCTTCAGCCCGTGCGCATAGTAGTGCGTTGTTGGAAGGAACGTGACGGCTGATGTCATGACGTTGAACGCATCCCAGGCCGGCACCATCTGCACCACGCCGCCCAGCCGTTGAGATCTCGTTTCTATTCGTTTCATTCAAGATCGAAGGGGTTTGGCGGCCTGGTAAGAGTTACTCTCCAGCTTATCCCTGGGCTCAATGCAAATGACAGACATGGTAGCCTCTCAGTGTCAAACTCGTTCAAGAAACAAATGGTCGGTGACGATTCTGATTTCTGTACCCGAGGCAGACGATTCAGAGCACTTTCTGGCTATGCATGTAGGGATGGATATGGTGGAGGCGACATGTGACTCATAGGTAGCATATGATGCCAGTGTGCCTAGAGCAGCCCCTCATGCCATGCCATCGCACCCGTCTATATATGGAGCCCGGATACGACAGGCAGAGGCCGCAAGAACAACTCAGAGCCACGGCTACTCCTCTTAGTGTCGGGTACGTTGCTGGTTCCTAGGCTCCTGTCTACGTAGCAGTGACTTTGTCGCCACGCTCTCCAATTTTTCAACCGTTCGTTTTGCTGACATCAAGTTTTGACCCAGCTATCGCTCTGCCACTTCTTATCAAGATCGTCGAGCGGCCCGTAGGTCAGGCACGAAGGCTTACCGCCTGACGCGCACGCCGTTGAAGCTAAATTCAATGCTGTAGACTTCGTGCCGCATTGGGACCAAGGCGGTGAGAGGTCACATCAGATGCAAGGTCTTGCTGTTCGCTCGTCAGGCCGTCCTTGTATTGGGTAGAGTTCATTGGACGAACTAGCCGTTCGACCAACAACGGCTGCAGACATCGACCTCAGGAGTATCTCAAATGGTGCAGAATGGCGCTAATCACGCAGGCAGCACATGTACACATAGCCTCATCAAACTATGCTCGCTTCCTTTTTGCAGAAGACCTTCGTGTGGAGTTTGCAGCGTGTTCATCGCGGGGCCGGAGTGAGGGAGTACATAAATGCGACAGTCCTGGAAACCCCCGTGTGTCTGATCCCTCATCTTCCTCTCCCCGAAATCAACTGTGGCCTCTTAACGCGGTCAGTGTTAATCTCAGTCATGCCTTACGACGAGGAGACGGGAATCAAGTGAGTGAAAGGTCCAGGATCTTACATTGAACGCCAGACCACTGAAGCTTGCGCGCGGTTGAAGTACATTCCACAATGTCTCAATTGAAGGTGATTAATTCCGTCAAAGTTTGATGGTGCTGTAGTATTTGACTCGGGCATAGGTATTCTAGTCAAATTTGATTGTAGTTGGAGTCCGAGACCGACTGTCTCATTCCATGAGCTCACATGGGATGGCGAAATGGGAGAGGAACTGTTTGTGGCGAAAAAGTGCAGCAAGGCATTCCGATGGAAGCCGCGTCAACCTAAGGAACTGTGAGTGTCGAACTGTCCCCTGACTTAACTGCTCCTTCAACCACCATTAACCATGGAATCTGCCACCTATCCAGAACTGCCGCCGGAGATCTGGTGCAATACTCTCAGGTGATACACGGCTGACCAGGGCAACAATATCCTGTTCATCCGGGACGTAAACCGGCTGTTCTACGACGTCGCGATGGACCATTGGTTCGAGAGACTGGATCTGCGGGATCTGAACGCGGGCGGCGCATTTGAGCTCCAGCACATCTGGTATGTCTGCGTGTACGGTCAGTGTCAGATCTGCACTCACGATCTACGTGTTTTCCTCGCGTTCCTCCTCCGTCAGAGATCCGTGGCTGACGAAGCGACTGAAATGGATATCCCTCTCAATGTGGACTCTTGCGCAGATACTCACGGAGGAGTGCTATCGCTCGGAAACACTCAGGAATGCGGCTAAAACGAACGTGTGCGCTGGTCGGTGAGGGAGTGAGTGTTCAGGTTCTAATTTTTCATCGCCACTGCTGATTCATGATTGATAGCTGGCGGTCCTCACATTTCTATCCAGATGTAGGTCTAATCGTGCTCGATCTGTGGTCTGGAGATATCGGAAAGCACGACGACTAGACTAAGCACAATTGTATATTGAGAGTAAAGGGGGGGACAAGGCCACATCGGGAGAGAGAAGAGTTAGGCCTTCTAAGTACCTCTTACCGTTCTGAAGCTAGTAATGGATGATGACCTACGTATTCCCCAATTCCAAGAATGTGATGCCCTCGCCTATCAAGCGGGAGAAATATGGATAATTGGGCATGTATTACGGATATACTAGTACACGAGGTGGACATAGTGAAAGACGAGGCGGCGCAACACGATATCGTGAAATATACAACAAAATAATCAAGAGCGTAGACGTTCGGAGATGAATCAAGCTTCTGCATCGCTATCAGTATCGAGAACCTGCGGATCTAAGGTTGGTGAGAGACGAAGATTTGTGGAAAGCGACACCGGCGTGGAAGGAAGGCTTTTCGTGAATTCATCTGCATCTGGCGAGTATTCGAGGGGAAGCTGGCATCCGGGAAGGAAGCGTGGCGATAGCGGGAGGCTCTGAGGGACTTCCTTGTATGATGTTGCGTCCTTCTCGTATGATTCGGTGCCCTGCCTCGTTATTCGGCGCCCCTTGAAGCGTGGCAATGGCGGGAGGCTCCGAGGGACTTCCTTGTATGAATCTGTGCCCTGCCTTGTGATTCGGCGTCCTACGTATAGAAGAATGGTCAGATAGAGTCACTAAATGAAAAGCAGTAGCTCGTACTCTTTGCTTGGGATTCCTCCTTCGGTCCAAGCTGGTTCGACTGTCGCTTCGGCCTGAGCAAGCTCGCGGCAATGAGCTGTCCGTTGACGCTGGGTTTATGTGATACCTGAGGCATTATTCGGTTGTCCGGGATTTCTGCTGGTCGGATTCGCCCTGTATCAAACTTGACGTCCTTGTTCTGCGTCTTCCAGAGGTCGATATATTCAAGGATGATCCGCTGCATCGCTTCGTGGAGGTGGAGGATGGGAGGTGCCGGCTCAATGAGGCCCCACTCTGGCCTGATTTGAGCTGCCAGATCCAGGAGAAAGTCTTCAACGTGAGCGAGCTCTGGGTGTAGCCACTTTCCCCATCTTGGCCTGCGGAGTAAACTCAACCTACTGTCTCCCGAATCTTCAGATTCGCCGATCTCGTGATTGGCGATGTATTTCCATGCGCAGTTGAGTCCAAATTTGTCGGGATCCTCGAGCACCAGGGGATCTTCTGGCGCGCTGTCCACTGGGACGGCAAGGAGCAAGAATACTACCATGCACCAGAAAACCGACTCTGCATCGTGCCGAGGACGGTGCTCAAACTGCGTTACACACAGATCGGGGTTTTTGTCATGCTTCCTTCCCATTTCTTTGGTATAAACACCCCCAAGACAGGTGATGCTATCGTCACAGAATGTCCGCAAGCCAGAGCGATCGTTGGAGTATACCTGGGCGTATCGATCGGCAAGATGAATTGGCAACTTCGGCATACTGGGGAACTTGATGTCATCCACAAGCAGACAGCCAAGTGCAGGCGAACGAGCGATGAACTTTGGTGTTCCCTACATGTTCGATTAATCAGTAGCCTGCCGATGCACTTCGAGGAAGAACTCACGGTACGACAACGCAAGGGTTCATCATTCATATAGATGGTGTCTCTCCTTGCGACGAATGAAGGTGATACCGCTGCCGCTCGGTCCAGTTCCGCCGCATTGTCGAAGTCTCCAAGGCGAGCCAGGGGATCGGTGTTTTTCGTGCTAAATGAATGAGATATTAGCAAATATCGACGGCAGGTGGGGTCAAACGTACTTCTCGTTCTCGATGATTTCGTTGACAAAGATCGGGCGATGTTCCGTGCCCTTGAATTCCTCCTCATCTTCGCCCTTGAAGTCTTCGGCTTGAACGAAGATGTTGCCGTGACTGATGTCGCGATGGATAATATTGCGCTCCATCACCGCCCAACGGTGAGCTGTAAGTCGTTTAGCACGCGAGAAATAGGCCAATATGAATATGGTTCACCTTCGAGGATGTCGTACATGCATTTGAGGAAATCAATGAGACTGGGGCATTTTCGCAATGATTCTCCCCAGGTATGCATGATCAGTCGAGTCTTGATGCGCGTGGTGCTGTCAACCGTCACTGTGATGGGCCAACCGCGCTTCCACTGAACTTCATATTCTTTCTTGACTCGCAAGAATCCAGGGGCGGGGCCTTCCTTGTGGAGGATGTCGTACAGCTTGCCTTCCCTAAAGCTGGAATGAACGTCGCGATACGAGTCCTTGATCGTAATTGGTGTATCGCCAACTTTCGCTACCCAAGTCATCCGATGCCAAGGGTCTCCAACGACTCTGACAACACAGTTTTCGTAAACTTTGTCGCCATCGCGTATATTCCAAGCGGGAGGACCGAGGACATCACCAGTATCAGCCAGAGTCACGCTCGGGTCTCGGGTTGCGAAGTCTGGGTGAGGAACGTAGAGCGTGTAGACATACGAGACCAGCGGAACGAGGTCAGACCAAGGGAATTCTTCGGACGTTTGGAGGCCAGCAGGGCAGCTGTACTGAATGACATAGCCAACGGGTGAGATAGAGAGCCCGTACATCCCAACCAAGTCGGGGCGAGATTGGTTCGCGAACGCCAAATAGGCTCCAGATTGACGGGGTCCGTCCTTCCTGTCGGCCTTGCCTTTTTCTTCGATGATAGTTAATATATGGTGCCAGGGAATGCGCGCCGTGTCGTCTTCATCAAGAAGGAGGCTGATAGCTTCCAGCAAACCCACCAAATCGGGGGCTCCCGCTTCGGTGTCATTCGGATGGTACTTCGGCGAGCGCGAATGGTTGTCACGGAAGACTACAAGATCCTTGCCTTTGGCGTATTTAACTTTGACAAAAGCCAAGTGTCAGTACAGCAGACGATTGGTGGAGTGTATACGTACGGCGTATGAGAACACTCGCACGACTGAGCAGTTGCGCGAGTAGGCCATAATCTGTCTGTCCGGTGGCGCGAAACTGGTTTACCAGTTGAAGGAGCTCCTCGTCGTTCAGGATGGTGGCAAATGACCTAGTCGTGGATTTGTGTAGCCGTAGCGAGCTGAAAGTCGCCGACGGAGTCAGGTAGCCAGTGCGGTCGACTATGTCGGACATCTGTCGTCTATTGACTGCAGGTGGTTTCGTCTTCTTCACTGGTGTAGTCTGGGAGATAATATGATGAGCCATGGTGGTAAATTGCAGAAGAGAACTCGCACTCTCAGAAGAGTTTATACTCACCTGAAATGGCCACAATCAAACAATGGACACGAACGAAGTGGCAAGTGGAAGTGGCTTGGTGGTAAGAACGAACGAGTTGTTTCCAAATTGGGCCACAGTTGTTTGTCGGAGTACGTATCGGAGTTGAAAACACGATCCATGTACAGCACACCCCTCCAACCTCCTTCGAGTGATACCGTAGCGATACATCCTAGGGGTACTGCCTTTGCGCGTACGGAGCGGTCGAACTGAATCCAGACAACTCGGTATCGCAGACGTTCATTGAATGCGGAGATAGTAATGGACAATTGCGTTTTCGGACTGTGGTTTCCATCTCGTAATACATAACCTATCTGCTGTTATTCACTGGTTACCGCCGCAGGGTACACACTAGGTCATCGCACGCACGCCTGCGGTTCGCCGCCTTCTTGTCGCCAGCCTCGCCTTCCGGCGCATGCCCAACGTAAAGGGTACTCCTAGGATCCTTTTGGCGTGCCCGCATTCGTTGACGATCCCTCCACCAAGCCCGGTGGGCTCTACGATGCGGACCAGGTCAAAGAGAAGTACAACGAAAGACCGAAGCTAATAGTTACAGAGTTCAAGCATCGTCCGCGACACGATGCAGAATCTGTGTTTGGGTGTATGATCGTGTTTCTTCTGGTCCCTGTGCCCTTGGGAAAGCCGAAGGAAGCAATACCCAACGATCCCAAGGGATTCTTGCCCTTTTGTGCGTGGAGGCATATTGCGAATCATCGGGTCGGCCCGTCAAAAGATTTATGTGATAGCAGAGCGGGTCTGCTCGCTGGAGACGAACTGTGGAATGAATGGTCGCATCCGGGCCTCGCTCATGCTGGGCCACTTCTAGCGGCATTGGCATATCAAGTTTCCCCCGAATCGAGCCTGCTGGCCCCACAACCTGAGGCCTGCACCTCCATGAGGCAATACAGCGCATCATCTTCAAACAGATAGGTCTATGGACGAAGAATAATCTCGACGTCAAGTTCGATAGTGGGGGGTGGGGTCCGCGCCGGCGTCGAGACGAAGTACCACAATGCTACGAAGCGAGTCATTATCAATTCATCCAGAATTATCATCAAAATGAGACTCATACCTGAGCTACACAAATGGAGGCTGCAGCTCACCGGAGATGAAGCGATGATATACCCATGCAACTGCATTTCCAGATGTGTTGAATATACGTCGCCTGTTAATGTTGTCCGATGCGCAAGTTCTACCACAAGCGCCGGGCTCTACGCGTGAGCCTGCCACTAAGAGACAGGGCATACGCATCGCTGGATCAACGCTGGAGTGTCCTATCGTCGCCGTACGACTAAAGGCGTGCCTCTCCTCTTGGCCAATGTCAAAAGATCGTGCGCTACATTCTGTCCAGTCAGCCGCTCACTTCAAAAGGCACGAGCGTCTTAGTCGTAATGCTACCTTATACTTTGCTTTGGCCGTACGATCGGGCGTAGGTATACGAGGTTATCGATAGCAGCCGCCGGCAGCACTGAAGTTGAGAAGCATGAGGTGGAGTTGCTTTGTTCACAATTATGGATAACCGCAAGCTTATGCCGTCGAAGCCGCCTCAAGTGGTTTCAGAATTGGTAATGTCGTTTGAACAACATGCGTGGAACGAGGCCGTCGACAAGCTGAAGGAGCCGGGCGCCCGAGTCGTCGTGAGGCGAAGGGAGTGAAGTGATCGACGGCGCTGGGGATGACACACTCACACTGACAGCGGTCATCAGGACGTCGATGGCCTTACGCAAATACATCGTGCGTCACGTCCATATGAATTCACCTCCAAAGACTTTGTCACCTGTGCTCAGACTGAAAAAAACTCACCTTGGGGGTTACGGTGTACTATTCGCTCACCTGTGCATAATCCCAAGGATTGATCGTATGTCAACGTGGTGGGCTGGCGGTGGGCGGCGAAGCAAAAGCGAAAGGAGCAGGGGTGCTGACAGCCTAATGGTGGGGAGGATGACGAGGAACTTCGTCGACTGACCACCTCAACGCACCGCCAATGACAGCCATGAAACGTCTTCTATGCAATTTTTATACCCGCATTTTTCGCTCTCGTCCCCCGCTGTTGATCGAATAGAGATTTCGCTTACAACATCGTTGTAAACGAATGGTTGGGCATAGAACCTCTCACTGCGAGCCTTGTTCTTTTCAGATGGACCGTAGTGACCAGACGGCTCGCGTTGGGGAGTTTCAAAGTCCAAAATCGCTGAGAGGAGGCGTCGTTGTGCAGTTTGAGCGGCCGATCCACAAAACATTCGCACAGAAATTTGCCGTGCTCGTGATCGATGTGATTTCTACGACAGCGGTGTCACTGAGAACGCCGGAGAGCCATGTAGGCGGGGAGGCGTGGGGGGTATCACTTGCTTGCTAGCCCGCCGGCATTCTGAGCAGTGAAGCAGGGCGAGTTCGATGATGGGGAAAGGAAGGAAAGCGGTATCGATTGCATACTCCCGTGACCTGGCCTTTATATACTCTCCGGGCAACAAGCTTGCGTCAGCCGCGATTTTCGATCCGCCGCCGAACAACTGCCGACTCAAAGTTAGCCACGAGTGTAAATGTTTGTTACGGATTCCTAAGTCGGCATTGGGGAAAGGCGGTGGACCATACGTGTGGTCCTTGCACTGGAGGTGTGGAACGGCGAAATTCGGATGAGCGCGATAGGGGAATGATTAGGGTACTTACCAAGGGAAGAATAACAGAGGTTAATAATGTGCTCAGCGGATATCAGAAGACCACTCAATATACAAAAGTAAAGACTCGCTTCGCACTAAAAAGGTATTGATCATGGATCTTTAATTCAACGAAATTATGGTAAAAGAGTGTCAGTGGTCAAAGAGGCAAGCCGAATTTAGGCCGACTTCAAGCTGTAGCTAAGAGATAACATACAGCTGGAACTTAGTGGATGGAAACGATCGCGTTCCTGGCAGCCCGATGCGCGAGCTCAACTGTGTACGGAGACCTGAAGTCGTCCCAGTTGTGCCCCCCAACAACAACCGTATGCTTCCCGACATCCAATCCCGAGAACCCAAAGTCATGCATGCTGATCAATCCACTCTCATCCACGAGCTCGCTGAAATGGTTGGCGATCCTGGAGTCGAAGCCGACGCGGTGTCCACTGATACGGCGGAGATCGTGGTTGAACGAGCCGAAGCTGGCGTGGAATTGCTGGAAGACGATGGTTTGGGTCTCCACTTCGCAGATCTGCTCCGTGATGATGCTAGACGGTCAACTTGTATTAGATTCGTGGGCGCTGAGAACGTACGTCGGACTTACCGCTTAGCCATCTCCTGCAGGACGACTAGGCGTTGCTGGATGATCTCGATAGCTTGGGTGTGGCAAACGACCTGGCTCTCTTGCTCCACGACCTGGCTGAAGTGCACCGACCCGTCGAAGTTATCCACACCGTAAAAGCGATCGAAGTTGTCGAGGGAGGCGTGGCCACCCCAGTGGTTGAAGGAGATGGAGTTTCCGCGGCGGGCTGGTTGTAGACGGTCAGCTGGATGAGTTGGTGCAGGCACAAGTACGCACCGAGGCCATCTGAGGAACCGCTACCGTAGAGGACGGGCGTTGAGATGACTCCGACAAGCAGAGAAGAGAGGGCGACGAATTGGAGGGCAACTTTGGCGAACATGTTGAACGGTCTGTAGGCGCAGTTAGCAAGGAGAGTACCTATTGCATAGGGCACTTACTTATTGGTTGTAGAAAGATCGGATAACGTGAACGGGTTGATTCAAAAGAACGAAAGAGGCAACCTGGCCGAGAAGAGCGAACAAGAGGAATGAGAAGAACGAAGAAGGCGAAGTGAGGAAGTATACCACTAGAGATGAACTGTTTTATATTCACTGAGTGTGGCCAAGTCGTTATGCCAAGACGACGCCAGTCTCTGTTCACTGGGTTTGTTTCCATACACGCCCAACGTCTTGCTGAAGGATGATGCGCCGGGCATCATTCGACTCTGAAGGTAGGATGACATTCGAGCGAAAGAAATAGTGACATGTTGAGAGCACACGCAACCAGCGCTGGATGCAGTCGAGGATTTCGTGCGCTGCCCGAAATCCAGGGAGAGGCTCTGTGAACAAACCGTCTCCGGTGAACGGAAACAACCTATTACGAAGCACGTACCGACGTTTCAATTTACACTGAGCGAGTCCACCGGTCCTACTCAGCTGGACTTTAACATTCCACACTCTTGCGCATCGCGTCCAGACCGAGTTGGAACACGGGGAGTCTCAGAATGACAGATACCAATGTCTCGTTAATAGGAAATGTCTGCGCCGGCCACAAATCAGAAATACCCGAGTCAGATCAGTAGAAGTAGCACATACCGCGCAGAACGAGATGACAACTGCCAATGATGCTGAGGGAATACTTGTTGTGGCATTCGACGGTGACAGCAACATGAGGGTTATGCTTCGAGTTAGAGTGAGAGTGGGAAATAGGCGCCGATAACCTTATTTGCTAACAGCCATGACGAATTTTCCAGTCGATTTCTTCTCGCCCGGCAGCCACGAAAGCGACCTTGAATGATCATCGACTGCATGCATATTTCGAACGGGATGGTCGATGTCGATGAGGCTTTGAGGAGTCGGAGTCAATCGACGCGACGAAGTGGCACACAACGTGTAAATAACCTTTGAATCGTCGTACATACCCACGCCACCCTGACTGAACCGCTCCTTCTTTGACCACCATTATCCATGGCATCTGCCACCCATCCAGAACTGCCGCCGGAGATCTGGCGCAATATTCTCAGGTGGTACACGGCCGACCAGGACAACAACATCCTTTTCATCCGGGACGTAAACCGGCTGTTCTACGACGTCGCGATGGACCATCGGTTCGAGAGGCTGGATCTGCGGGATCTGAACGCGGGCGGCGCATTTGAGCTCCAGCGCATCCGGTATGTCTGCGTGTACGATCAGTGTCGGATCTGCACTCACGATCTACGCGTTTTCCTCGCGTTCCTCCTCCGTCAGAGATCCGTGGCTGACGAAGCGACTGAAATGGATATCCCTCTCAACGTGGACTCTTGTGCAGATACTCACGGAGGAGTGCTATCGCTCGGAGCACCTGCTCCCGTCTGCGCTGCAGAACCACCGGGACGAGACGACCCACATCATCACCCCGTCATCCACGGTCGCGTCGATGCTCGCGGCGCCTCTGATCGAATGTCTTCTGGAGGTCCTCGCGAGCGCAAAGAACCTGCTGAAGGTCGTGGTGGAGGTCCAATCTCAGCCCCAAGCCGACTCTAGGTATATCACGTTCCCCCGCAAGTTTCTGCGCGCCGCGTTCGCGCGGTTGGCAAGTGGCGCATCCACCGCGACTCTGGCCCTGCGCGTTGACTATGAGATGCTTGCGATGCTGCTCGATGAGCTGGCGCTGGTGCAGATACGCAGTCTGACGGAGCTGGCTCTCGTCATAGAGCCTCGCAAGAAAGAACGTGTTGAGCCCATTGCCCCAGTAAAAGGGTCAGGCGTTCGTCGAGAATCTCGCTCAATTGCCTTTGGAATCCCTCCGTGTATTTACGAAGGAGAGAGCTGTTATCGCATCACAGATATCCTCGATTCTAGATCACAACGGTGAGTGCCCACCCCCCCGTGTCTATCTGCTCGTGCATTCATAACGTTCCCAATAGTAATCCTGCCCAGCGTGCGCAGGCTCGACATCGCCACGACATTCGACGATATCCAACCAATCAAATCGCTCCGCACAAACTACCCATTTCTCACAGTCCTCATACTCCACATCATCGCCCCAGATTCGGGCTCAAGTGTCCCGCTAAGCGCCTTGGACCTCCCGAATTTGCTGAACCTGCGGCTATCCCTCAAGGGCGCATTCGATGGTCCCACATTCTGGAGCGGCCACCTCAATGCCCCGCGGCTCACACAGCTCACCGTGGCCGGCGCGCTTGGGGAACGCATGGGGCTGCACAAGCTCCAGCGCACTGTCCTCCAGGTCTGCACCTTCTTCGCAAGCGGGGCAGTCGAGCAGCTGGAGATCCACGCCGGCGTGCTGGAGAGGTTCCTCCTCGATGCGCTCGCGGTGTCGTTCTACGGGCTCCGCCGCCTCCATATACGCGCCACGCGTATTCTGGCAATGGTGGGTCCCTCCGTCTTGTGGGTGTTGTAGGTGTGGGTGGAAGGTGTGCTGACGAGGTGCGGGTGTAGGCGCTGTTTGAGGAGGAGATGGAGTGCCGCCGCTATCCGGAGTGGGACATACGCGAACTTAAGGTGGAGGTCATGACGCCTCTCATTGGTCTTGGGAATGTTGATGCACAGGTGTTGACCATGATAAAGAGTACCCTTCCGCAGGCAAGTGTTTCATCGTAAACTACTCCTTTACACGAATATACATCATCACGATCACGTACCACGCCAGACTTGCGAGCAGCTGTATCCGTAGAAGCGGTCAAAGAAAGGCCAATAATGAAAAGCGAGGATTCTTATTTCTAGAACTTGATTCCAGGCGTATTGAAAAGGAAACGCTGGGAGTCTCGCTAATGCCAGAAGGAGGGAGGTGCTACTTTGTCAAGGTCGGCGAAAGTATCGCACCTCCCAATCTTAAGCTCGGTTTGGCGCCGCGGTGATTGTTTTTTTTTTGTTTTTTTGGTGGAGGACTTGTAGGCTCATGTAGAAACCAAGTTAATACCGCGGTGATTGTGGTTTACATCGGGAGAGCCACAGATATGATAAAAGACGAAATCACAATCAAAGTACGTGTTATATCATTTTGCAAGTCATCGGGGCTTAGGCCGCTTGGTTCCTACCATCGTATACTGGATTTTTGCGCTATCCGCCGGTACTGCGTTGAAATCATTCTCGCTATCGCTGTCTTCCAGTACGTCGCTATGGTCTTCCAGTACGGATTCTTCGTGAAGTTGATTTGGAGGAGGGCGCACATGTCCACCTACTGGAGGCCTGAACCAACCAGGCCTTGCAGACGGAACTGGCTGCTGCTCTGGTATCTCCAGATCCGACGCAGGCGGGGCCGTGACAGGAGCAAAGTCTAACCTTTCATCGACACCGAATAGAGCTCTGAAATGACGCAAGAACCGACGTTTCAGCGAGTCCCAGAGGGGCACAGGGGTGTCCTGATAGGTGACGCCAACGCTCAAGGTCAGCGCCATGAATAGAGAAGAGAATGCGACCGACCTGGTTGACTGTAACTTAGTAATCCAGGTCAACGAGTTGCTCACCGATAGCTGGGGTCTGACATTGTACGTGGGTGGGAAGAAGAAGTTTGGAGGAATGTGCATTCGGCAACTGCGCGTCTACGGCATCGTGAGATCAGCGGGTAGCTGAGCGCTCGCAGGCTCATATCTTCGTGATCCATCCGCAACGGCTGTGAGTACTGAGGCGTCAGACGTTGGGCGTGGGTTGTGCTGAGGTGAGGGGGAGTAGCGAGCATTTGTAGGTCATGGTCACCAACTTTTTGAATACGATGCGTGTCAGAAGCCATGCACGTTCAGCCACTGTGTAAGTATCAGGGCAAGAGTCGATACCAAGTGGTGGCATGTTAAGTCGTTTCGACATCGACACGCTCCGCAGGTCGTAATCCTCTTTATGGAAAGCCGTAGATAGAGCACATCTGCACTGAAATCTCGCAAGCATAACGTTTCGAAATTAACGGTCAATGCACCGTCGCAGAATAGGAGAATACTTGTATCATAGCCGATGTACCATTCGAGGATCTTTCGCTAAATTTCCGTCTACATGCCGGGCGGCTGGGACCACAATGAATGGAGTAACGCGATCTGGACAAACACCGATGCACGACTCACTGACTTCATGACAGTGGTTGGGCGTCTTATAAACTGCGGAACCGTACGAAATGAACACGTACGAACTATCACGGCTCGGTCCTTTTGCAAGAGAGCTCTTCAACAGGCTAATGTTTGGTAACGGTGACTGGGAATAAGGACTCGAACCGATGTTTGTAAATGAAATAGCCAGTATTATCACAGAGAACTCACGTTGAATGATCCAAGCAATAACGCCGCTGCCTGGTCAAGAGATCATTTCCATCCACGTTGAGGAGAGCCTCAAGTGTTAGCGAGCGTCGAGAAGCCAACCCGTTCCGAAGTTCCGGCGTTGTTTGGCTAGACATGGAACACCAAATAAACTCCCCTACTCCTGATCTCCGTCAAACTGCTCTGGCCGCCGCGCATGTCTGATTTACGCGATGTGAATCCAATTGGTGGCGAAGTGCACGCAGTATACCAACGCTGACGAAAGAAATCACGCCAAGACCACACTTTGGCATACTCGTCGCCTGACTAGTGACTCCCAAACGGGACCAAGCAGCTGCGGGCCGTCTGCATGAATTTACTCGCGATTGAACTAGGCTACGGGTGAAAGATGTACGAGCAAAGCGCGGCACTGTTCGTTCCTGCTGGTTTTCTGTTGATGGGTATTCATGTTACTATATCAAACGGCCGAGCGCAGTGAAGGGACATCAGACCTTGAAAGTGAGAATCGCTACTTGTATTCCTTTCCGTCGTTTTCCTCTAACGAACCATACGCGCATCCGCCACTGATCCTACCGCCTCACAGACAACGACCATATAACCCAATCCCTGGGCTTATATATGGTGGCAAGAAGGCCAAGAGAGAGGCAGCCTCGACGGTGCCGGTCGTGGTGGTAATAACGCCATAGTAAAGGCGGCCGCTGTCAAATGATGCTGATGGTGACGACGGTGCGCACCCTTTCCTTTTTCTTTTCGTCGACCTCGCCATTTATACGAATATCCCAGCCCCGTCTCCATGCCCAGCGTCTTCAAAGCAGACCCATCCCTAGATTACTCGTCGCCCTCCCAGACGATGGCGCCATCAAACATCCGATCGCCGATCCAGTTGACTACTTGCTCGACGCTCATATGAGCTCGCGCCCGCTCACGCCTAAACCGGATGGCCGTGGATTAGACCTGGTGTCTGGTGCCTTGCGGCTCACATCTCGTCTACTCTGCTGGATTCTCCACCGCGCCACGTCCACGCATGAAGACGAAGACAAGACTTGCGCGTGAGGCCTTGACGAGCAATCCTAAGAATGTACTATAGATTACAATCAAGTATTACTACCACTCAAAGCATGACATTCAGATCAAGCCGGTTCGGTTGCCCATCTTTCCTTTCTCTCCGTCCAGCCATCCTCTTCTTGCATCCGCGCCTCCAGCTCCTCTGCCGGAACAATTGCCAGCCGATCGCCAGCCCATTTTCCCTTCATCATGTCCCCATACCCATCATCATGTCCCCATACAATGAGCACCGGAATCGCGATATCAAGTACCCACTTCCCCTCTTCGTCCACGGCTGGTACGAACTCACGCTTCGTGATGTTGATGAGCACTGCTGCATTGTCGTTGTACGAGATGCGCCGCAAATGTGGGTTGTACGGATTGAAGTACATGAGCCTCCTTGTCCGGTGAATGCGCTCGACGTCTATACGGGAACTTGTCATCCTGCGGATACGCTTGTATTCGAGTTCGTGCGACCACTCGCTTGCGCGAAAAGCGCCGTGCAGCGAAGGCATGTCCCTCCCATACGTGTACAGATGGAAGCTTTGATCTTTGTACATTGCGAGCGACTCATCGCGCTGACGTTCCCGTGCTTCAAGGCCCCCTTCAGCCTCATCCTCGGAATCAGTTGTGCCAGTAACATCCTCCAACGGCTCGCCCTCGGCTTCTTCATTGACAGCCCCCTTGCGCGCAATCCCCCACTTCATGAGGCGGTACTTCTCCGCAGGCGACAGAAAGCCGGCCGGGAGTGAGTCTGAATAGTCCCCAAAACAGATGCCACGGTCATACGCCCAGTTGTTGGATTAGGCGATAGTTTTGGCTTTAGCGAGTGTGGTGGAGTAACCGATTGCGAAGAGCTGTGCGTGGGTGACACAGAGCATGATCGCCCCGTCTAGGTCAGTTGCGTCAAATATAAGGGCGATGAGCTCGACGGGCCACTTGCCCAAACGGCCGAGCTCGGCTCTATTACAGAGCAGTGCCTTCGACGGGTTGTACCCGCTATGTGCATGTCCATTGTCAGCAAACAGGGGGTTCGGATGGGAGCGAGGTCTTACAGAAAGATTCGCGTGAGCGCGGTATCGAGCTTGGGATATGGCTCAAGAGCCATGAGATTTGATACAATGCCGTTGCCTCCAAGGTCCCCAAATTTTCGCATTGGGGGCTCGTGGACCTGATGCTTGTCAAAGTTTATACTGTGGGCAACGTCTTTAGCGGAGGGAAAGTTGGAATCCAGAGAAACGCACAACTCGAACCACTGCCCCATTGCTTAAATGGACGGAAGGAGATGAAGGGGGAATGGTCGAAAGAAGGTATTAATATATGTGACCAGCTGAACTCAGCGGCTCCTGAGCGCTGAGCTCGAACCTTGTCCATTGTCTTAGTGGCAATCGTGGCCTCCTACTCCACTCCAGTCCTTTCTTCCTCCAAGATATTCACGAAGATCAATATGGGCCCGCGTCGACGGTTGTTTGTCCGGACAGAAGCTAGGCGCCGTGTATACCGAATATGTGAGTAATGTACTACAGTGTAATACGTGACTTGTAGAGTTTTGCAGGTTTGACGATGCGCATCGCCACTTCGACACATCCCCTTGTCGTCAAATCCCCCAGTTGTCGATGATCTGCGCGCGGCCCTTCTCCGTTGCGTATTCATCCTTCTGATACGCATGCAACATCAGGCGCCTGACTTGCTCGTAGTTGGCAGTGGGTACCCACGTCTCGCCAGCGTCTTCTCGCAGTCGTCCACGTTCTTGCTCCACTGCCGCCTCCCTCTCGTCATCCGCGGTGGCCGCCGGACACGCCTCGTCCCCCTCCGCAAACAAATCCTCCCAGCCGTTCACCATGTCGGTCAGCTCCCACAGGAGGTTGATGGACTTGCCCTCCCACGTCTCATTGAGCGCCTGAACCTTGCCCTCGGAATACATGACTTAGCCAGGGAACTCCATTTGCGCAAGCTCTAGTAGTTTTGCTTCGCCGTCAGAGTCGCTTCTCATCCTGGGCCAGATATTTAAGAACAAGAAGATGAAAGCAGAAAGAAAGCACCGTTGGGGTGGAGAGAAGGGGAAAGATTTTGGGACCGGCATGACGAGGCAACGAATCGAAGGAAGTGGTTCAGAGGTAGGATTCATTCGACACTTCAGGTGAGAATGGTCATTTGCTCGTTATTAAGAGGCTACAGTAACGATTCTCTGACTGAGATGACCGCGCTTGCCAGGCTATATGAGCGGTCACTTTCATCACTACACGTGTCGGAAGACGTAAGATGTGGTGGCGGTTCATTGTTAATTCGTTAATGCAGCTATACCGTCGAGCTCAAATCCCCATGGGGCTGAGTTCCGATAGCTTCTTAATTGCGTCCTGGATCATGGCTGTTCAACCTCGTCCTGGTCGATCCAAGGATTGACGCCGCCAACGGACAGAACGTCTAGGAGTATCTCCGATCCTGGATGCGAACATTAGCAACTGAGAACGAGCTGACGGGATGAGAATGGATCTTGAGAGGGAGGTCGCCTGGTGAGTGCCGCGTTGTTGTTCGTTATTTGGGTGCGCGCCAAAGCGTTCCTGCTCATCAACCAATCATCAACTTAGAATTCGCCTCAAGCATGCCCCGTCGGCCACTTCAAGATCAGCGCTCCATCGAATAACCCCTGGCGGCGCAATCGAGTAAACGATTGAGGATATGGACATCTCCCTTGAAGCTAGACGGTAGCGATTCAATCTCTCTAGCGAGCTCACTCCCCTATGGGAAACATTCAGATGTGAGATCATCAATGGGCTTGGACGGTTTCGATATGTATTCGTGAAGGAACCGACTGATTCATGATGATGGCTAGGCGGATATTCAGCAGATGGACGTCCCGGTGTTGATCGCTTTGCTACTGGTGCGTTTCCTTCACTTTTACTCAGAGTTTCACGTTTGGACGACAGTAGTTTGACAGGGCTCCTCTGATGCTAGATATACTGGGCGACTCTTAAATCTCCGCAAGGATATCCCTTGGTGTAAATCGAATCGACAGCCGTTAACGTTGACACGTCCCCTCTCTTGGCTGCATTCAAGCAGACGGCGCCGGCGCCTCATCGAGACGGGATCCACGAACGGGAACGGGGCAATGGCGATACCGCCGGAGCCGCTAGAAAAGTATTTCTACCCTCTATCGATACCAGCACACCCTATCTTCCGTAGTTCCCAACGCCCAATAAGTTCGCTCTCGATGCGACATTGAGCTTTGGTCCGAAGGCTTTGGATATGGGTCACGTAACGAGCCTCTACGACATCAAATCCTCCTCCGCCGACGCTTTCTCCACTTGAACCCTCCGCCTTCAATTGCGTCAGCATGCCCACAAATAACCAATCCATTGGTGGTTCGTCGCCGATGCACTACACCGCTGAGCTCAAAATACCATGAAGCTGAGCTACGAGGTCTTTGCGAGCGTGTCCTGGCGCGTGGCAAGCACTCTATTTGGCGATCCCGGGTACCTTCGAGAGCGTGTCAGAGTGGCGTACTTACGAAGGGAGTAGATGCTGGTACACTGCATGGTGTCATACTTTCTCGATACAATATACGGTGTACTGCCTTCGCTATCGAACTTCGGTGCTCATAAATTAGCAAAATCGATGCGACACATCGATTTTTCCTTCAACGTCTTGTATTCAGTCGTCATCCCTTGCGTTTTCTCAGTTCCAACCTCAAACTGACAACCAAAATGCAACGATCCTGATAATGCATGCCTTCTATTATATCTCTTCCTACTCTCGTCGGAGGAACTAGCTCAACTCCCATCTCCGGTGCGGATCTCGAGGCGTCGGCATTCTCTATATACTTTCGTGGAGGGGAGCTGTCGCCAGCGCTGCCGAATTCTGAGTGCGTGGATCTACGTTACCGAAAATTGAAACGAGAGGAATGAGAAGATTTGCCTCTGATTCTACTTCGACGTTCCCGAGTACATGTATGAGGCGCCTCGTGGCTTCAATCACCACCATCCACACGCTGTGATATCATATCTATCAGTACGTGAATACCGCAACCTACATGCACGAAAGAATATATAATGTCTCGTCACTGTGAAGTGTGTCTGTACAACTGATTGACGGAGGTATGAGGCTAAATTAGTCTTGCAACTGTCGTAGTCTCGCGAGACGAGTGTTGTCCTACGGATAGGTTGGACAGAGTCTCACAGAAGGAGAGGTGTTGGAATGTCGACCAGTCCAACACGGGCTAGATCTGGACATAAGTTACTAGCTACGTGGAGCACTATCGGCACCCGAAAACATGAGGATTACCACCCCCCCCCCCCCCCGGTCAAGGGCAGCGACGAGAGGGCAACAAGAGGAAAGGAAGTATCTGGGTTCGACCATTACATTATCGCGCGCAGGGAGTTAGTATAATTACCACAGAAACCAAGGCGCACATCTGAATTGACCGTACCATATGAATGTGCATTCATACTGCTTGAATTAGGGCCACCCTTCATTGGCTCCGATCGTAAGGCCGATGTACCCAAGCCTCGAACCCACGATCCTTTTTTCAGAGGATATTGCCAGAGTTTCTCGATTGACCACCGTAGGGGGAGAGGGATAACTGAGCACTGCGGTATACTCAAACATGAGGGGGCGTTATCGCACATATAGATCCTATAAACACCAAATGGCAGACACGTTGCGATTTTTTGACCGTTGCTTCCGGCAAGTACTAGATATGAGAATCCATAAGCGCTACCGACTGGGGCGTATATTTCTTGACGCTGCGGTTTCCTGGGTCCTTCTGCAACGGATTCCCTTGAGAATTCTGGGGATCGGCCAAGTTATTCTATACACATCCTTCCATCAAGTCGACGATCGGATCGGAAATGGGAGGGTCAAAAAGAAGGGGATCCTTACTACTAGGTTTCCTGAAAGCGTTATGTGACATACCAATGCAGTAGACGATTCACCGCCTCGAGATCCATGTCGTTCGTGCTGCGCAGCGGACCAGACTAAGGGCGTCAGCGGCTCCAATGATTGGAAGACATCAGAGACGTGCGTTCTTTACTCCCCCCGTTGTGAAATAGAAGGTACGAAGTCGGATACTGCGAAACAAACGACCGAAAGTGTGCCCCTACACGAGGGTTTTAATATGTACGCATCCGAGATAAAGTACCACTCACCTGATTTACGGCGTGGTTTGGGCATGAGTTCTGTTGTATGAAAGAATGAGGCAAGGTCCGTGCATCGTCTAAAGAGACCAAGAGGGGTCGAAACACACTAGGATGAACGATCTCAACTGCATGAGCCGGAGACGACCTAGATACGGCTGAAGTCGTACCATTACTCGTAGTATCTTCGTCTGAGGTCTTACGGCTCCGTCACGCGAACGACTACCTAGAATAGGCAATGATTCGACTGTCAAATCAGCGTGAGGGCGTAGAATGGCTTGTATGTCGTAACCGTGTCTGAAAACAGAAAGAAGCACTTTGGACCGTGTGGTCAGGCGGTCTGACACCACACACGCGTCGGTCCCATTGATCATTTATTTCCAGAAGTAGCCTATCATAGCATCGTGCGCCTGCCGTAACGTGATAATACACTTTGCCGGACGCTCGATCTACGTCACGGTCCATCCTACCTTCGGCGACATTAAGAACCTCATAGAATGGGAAAGAACGAGAGGGTGAGGCTGGGGAGCTAGGCCTACTCTATTCAAATGACCAGCCCCATAGATATCCAAAGAACGACTCGCTTTACCGTCATAGTAATACAAGTTGTTGGTGCGCGATAAGTTCGAACTTCGTATGACGCTCTCATACCTGTATAGGTCGTGCGGCGATTCAAGCTCAGTACACGAGCACAAGCGGGTCCTGCGATAGATATGAAGTCCCATATTGAATGGGGAAATCGGCCATATGCCGTGCTCACTAAGGAGCACACCCTACCCCCAGTAACGAGCATTTGCCCACACAAACCCCGTTGCGCAGCCCGACTCCCATGCATAGTTACTGGCTGGGCAGTGATCACGCCCACGACGTAAACCTCCAGAACATTCAAAGAACTACGACGCACGCACTAATTTACTTCATTCGGCCATCATCTGACGCCGAAAAGCTGTTGATAGCATCGTTTGGGTATACATTCGTACGAGAGGGCTTGACGGCACAAGAAGACGTTTCTGGGAAGCATCAGCTTGCTAGTGCGGGCAATATTAGGACTACAACTCTTTCGAGAAGTTCTTTCTGGAACGAAGAGGTATTGGGTCGCGCGACGGCCCGTAACCGAGCTACCTTTGCCCAGCCGCCATCAATCAATCTCGCCTAATGAGTAGGTGACCCGCGGATACTGAGGACCGGTACTCGAAGGGAGTTGGTACGCCTGAGACGGGCATCAGGATGAGCTAATACGAAGTCCTTGGTTCGGTGCTTGCTAAACCCCAGGTGGAAATGGATGGGAGCGTACATGTCCCGTGCACATCGTGAGACACCCACTAGGGTGTCAGAACGGGGAGGCGTTAGTTTTAAGGCGTTAATGTGCATATACTTGAACTCGCGGAGCAGGGTGCACGGTGGTGATAAGCAGTCATCAGCGGACGAACGCGGGGCGAAGACCCTTGGGGTGGTGGCGCGGGTGATCGGGGAGAGCAACGTGTGCACGATGGCTTACTCGAGGTGAATGGTCACGAGAATGCGGGGAAATAGTGAACGAGTGGGAGGCGTCTAGGGTTGCCGTGGTTCTGACAGGTATTCCAGGTGAGTATCGGGGTAATGGTAAACAGAGAGGTATAACAGTGGGCGCAGCTCGAGGGAAGGAGAGATAAGCATAGCCATCCACGCGCCGCGTGGATTGGTGCCATGATGCTTGCAGGCAGAGCTTAGCACGGAAGAACATTGCGCGACTACCCCAATACACGTTGGTCTGCCAGGCTCATAGTCACGCACGATCCCGCAAATGTCGTGAGCGCCTGCCTTGTGACGTGAAAGGCATGAAGCTACAATCGATAGTGGCATAAGGTACATTTCCCGTCGCGGAACTTGAAATGACTGACGGACTTTCACTCCGCCATTGATCCCGTCACCCCTCCGGAACCAAACTCAAATAACAATTATAGACCATGCCTAGGTCAAATGACGGCAGACAGTCGTACTGGGTGCGTAAATATTGTCATAGAGGGGATCTAGACTGAAGAAGCTGGACAATGATCACTATAGGATGTCGATAGTTACGTTGGTTGCGCCGCCGAATCCTTAGAGGGCAGTCCCGTCTTGCTCAGAGTCAAGATCGGGCCGCTCGGAGGCAAAGTATACGCCGCCAGGATGAGAGAGTTATGCTTCGGACGTTGGCTGACACGAGGCCAGTGACGTGCAGGTTTGTCCCGATAAGCGATTATTCCATTCAATGAAAAGCAAGTTGGTCTTAGTGCGAAGAAGCGTTGATATAGATGTCCAGACTTCGGTCGCGGCCAGATGATGAAATTTGGAGACCTAAGCGTGTGACTTGAGCTATACAATATGGCAAGAACATCGTCGATTTTCTTCTACCTCGCGCCAGCTGCGAGGCGATGTCTTTCGAACCATTCCGAATGTCAAAGTATAAATGGAGCTCGAGAGCTCATCTAAGTGATATTCCGGGATACTAGAAGACGCTATGAAAATAGACTCATGTCGACGAAGGTACGCGGTACTGTCCTAGAGCAAGTAACGCATCCTCAGATATAGTCGCGGCGCTGTACTTTGTAGCGCTCATCCGCTGTATACGTTCGCGCCTTCGAATGTGTACTCCAGTTCAGACGATGAACCGGGCCAAAAACCCGGTCCTATCTTGTTTTATGCGAGATTAATTCTCCCCATCACCTGGAAGGAGGCTTCGACGGGCGTTCATTGGTTGAGGTGCTGTGTGGTCGAGATGGTGGGTCACAGGAACGAAGGGTTGGCTCGTAATGTACTCACTTCCTTTCCCCCGACGAATGAGGTTTAGAGACGGGATTTTCGGCTGTCGAATGTCAAAAGTTTCCGTCCCGCCCCTGCGAATCTTCCCAGACGAGTGCATTAGCCGGTAGGTGTAATCTAATGGGATGATGCGGGTAGTGTAACCAATCGTCGTCCTTCGGTCTAAATACTGATGGCTTGATGGACATCGAAACTAAGAGCACAGACAAGGAATGATGCGCCTGTCAGCCGCCACCGCTCCTTTTCTGCTTCGATTGACTTACGCTTACGATGGAGGTCAGTGTGTTCCATCAGGCCGTGGAACTAGGAAGTAGAAGTAGTCATTAAAGCGGTTATAGTACAACCAAGGATGGAGGCGCAGAGAGTCTTTTCGGTTCGCTAAATGATATGGTGATGTACACGGTGAATGTTGGCCTTGAGGCCGTCATTGTACATTCCCAGACGTGTGATTGCAACGAGCTGTTCAGCCAATGAAAGCGGGAAGAAAGCGCCTTGTTGATAATGGCGTGCTTACTGATGCCGACGTCTGATTCCTGGCGGGGTCCCTGGGCGCTCAAGGCTTCTATTGGGTGACCCCACAAAGGCGCATCAAAACATATCCCGTAGGGGCTGGGTTCCTTGACTGATTGTGGGCATGTGGGCCTAGACACCGCCACATCGGAGGAGAGGGGCGGCGAGTGAAAGGCCATAGTGAAAGATAAACGCACCCTGGATATAGAAGTGATTGCACCGATAGTGGTCACAGAAGGTGAGAGAAAGAAGAGATGGGGAGGAGTTGCGTGATGAGCGCCACGAAGTGAAGTAGGCGAGGCGGCCATGAGGCTGTCTGGCGCGCCATTTGGAATCGCTGAAAGGGAGAGGGATTTCTCCGGAAGGATCATGGGTCGCGGCGTGGTAGAATGGGTGATAAGAGTGGGGTGGGGTATGGGCGTAGAGTGACCGCGGAGGAGGAGAATAAGAGTAAGGTAAGTGCGTTCGGGCGGGAGGACCGGGGTCGGACTTGGAGAAGAAGGCAAACCATGCGCAGATTGGATTGGGAGTTGACGTGCGTGGGCTGCGGACATGAGGCTGAGAGCGGTGGCATTTCACCATTTGGGTTCAGGAATTCTAATGGATAATTCTGATAGCCTTGACCGTAAAAGGTGAATACGACGCCGAGCATCCCGCCAGCGACGAAGGCAGTTCGCAGTAGCAAAAGTTACGTCGCTGTAGTCCTTGGCGCTTACTCAGACGATAACAGCGACAACTGTCGGTGCGGGCAGCATGAAAAACGACGATCGTCGGGGGCGGGAGCCGATCAATACCCGGTTCAAAAGCGCTGGGCGGGAAAGTAATATGAATTGGTGCTCGGGGTCCGAGGTGGCATGACCGCCGCCGGATGATCTAGCCGCGTTTAGGGCGAACTTGCCCGAAAAAGAAGTATTGGCGCGGACTAAACAAGAAATAGGTGCGTTTCCCCGATTTTCATATTAGTTTGTCCTAAATCCCCTTTCTTTTTTACCACCATGTCGTCGCCTCAAGATTCACCGTCACAGCCGACGACGACGACGACGGTAACGATGACCGACGTCTTGTCCCCCCCGCCCATGTCTAATGTTCCTTCTCCCGACGCTCTCACCTCACAAACGCATTCCCAATTAGCCTCCATCCTCGCCGATGCCTGCAAAGAAGCAGAGCATCTTCGTCGTGAGCTGTCGTCGACTCGAAAACGCGCTGAAAAGGCCGAACGACTCGTCGCCGCGCTGTCCGCCGTCTCAGGTCAAGGTTCAAACTCCCCGACCGCTAGTTCTTCGCCTAACGTGACACCATCGGCGGCCGTCCACAACCCCGACGCGGCGCGAGCCCTCATTCTTGAGTATGAAGAGAGAGTCGCCAAAGCGGAGCAGGCGCGAGATGAGGCAGAGGCTCGAAGAAGGATGGTGGTGGATAACTGGCAGCAACTGGAGCGATATCTCCAAGGTCTTGAGTTCCACGCCTCAGACGCCAGAGCGGGGTTCGCCCGGATCGTAGCAGACGGTGGTGGGCCGTTGGTACTGGCGGATCTCAACGCTCTACCTGCTGCTAGTCGCTCGCTATTCTCATCTTCGTCTACAATGGGCCCTCCGTCTACCAAGGGCCCACACCGAAACAATTCTACCGGCTCGACGGCATCGACAAGCAATCGTACTACCCATTATCCCTTATCGTCACTACCTCTTCCTCCCCACCCTGCTCCAGGTAGCCGGGTCAGAAATCGCGATAGCAGTATGGATGAAGCTTCTCAGCCACCTCCGAAGAAACCTCGAATTGTTTACGCTGAACCGGTAAGTTAACCCCCGTGCTGAAGAGACGTTGGCTCTAACGGGCTGGCGCGACTACAGTCCAATTCCCCTCATCTCTCGAACGCACAGTACGCCCAACAACAATCTTATGGCACGCCGACTCTTCACGCTATTTCACGCAAAGACGAGATGCATGTCCAGTACGTAGATCAGCACGGACAACCAATTGCGCCATCAAATCATGAATACCCTTCTCCCTATCCCCCTCCCCACACGATCCAGGTAATGAATACCTCGTTTCGTCTTCATGACATATCGGGCTAACATTTTGTAGTCTCATCGCAGCAGCCGACACGCCACGCAACCAGTATACCACCATCCCCAGGCCCGCTTGATCAACGATAAATATGGCGCCTCACCGAACCTTCACCACCCTCGCTCACGTTCTCGCTCACGTTCTCACTCGCGCTCTTCTAGCGCGGAATCGGAAAACATCGACGAACTTCTCCTAGCTGCTACAGGCGACGAAAATCAGCCGCAATTCCCTCATGGGAATCCAAATCATCCTAACCCACCACATCAGCAGCCACGCTCGAACGGTCAAGTTGTGAATGGTATCCACCATCACGGACATCACCCTGCGACCCATAGTCCTAACGCGCCCCCATATCAGCCACATCATCCATCTCGACCCTACAGCCCGTCCTCAAAATGGAGGCAACCGCCCCCTCCCTCAAACGTCGCCATGCCGTCTAGGCGGTATTCACCACCACCTCAGCCTATCCCTCCTTCAATGGAGTACCGTGCTACCCGATCGGGACGACAATCGCAGGTGGAGCCAGGCCCTTTACCCCAACCAGGCCAGGTCCAAACGTATCAGACGCACGTCTTCGCGCCGGTGGTGACGGGCGCTCCGGTGAAGAAGAGCAAGTTCGGCGCCAGTGGAAGTTCGGGCAATCTAACAGGTGCATAGTTTCTTCAGAGACGACAGAATCGAATACTCACCCCCTCGCAGCGAATGGCTCCCAAAGCCAGGGCGACGTAAACGGCGTACAGTCGGCCCCTCCCCCACCTTCGTTTCCGCCGACGAATGCTCAGGGTCAACGCATATGCAGACAGTGCGGGTTGCCTGGTCGGTACAAAGAGGGAAAGTGTGTGGAGAAATGGGGACCAGGGCCTCAAGGCCCAGGCACCGTATGCGATAGGTGGGTGATGATGTTGGCCATAAGATCATTGCTGACGGTTAATCGTAGATGTCGCAAGAAGATGAAACGGGTCGAACGGCGGGGGACACTGGAAGGGCAGCAATTAGCCGCGCAGACTGCAAACGCCGTCGCTGCCGCGCATAACGCAGCATTCCAACAACAGACTGCCCCAGTCCGAACGATCCAGGCCCCGCCGCGAACGGATACAATGCCTATACAGCAGTACAAAGACGATTCTAGCGCAAACCTGCGCTCTGCAATTACGAACTCGCACCGAGGACGAGCCCCCCCATCACCACCCAGCATTGCGACCCTCCCAGAAGGCACGCTCTCGTCGCATTCGCGTTCTAACTCAAGAAATGGCAGTCGACGTCCCCCGAAAGCCGGCTCCTCCTCGCCTTTGGTAGGCGAAGGTGGCGCCAGAAAGGTCGGGAGGATGTCGAAGATGGACATCGATGGCGGGGATCCAGAACCCGATGCCGACGCCGATGGGTCTGGTGACGGCGACGGTGATGGACCAGAAGAAGACGGAGATGCCCTAAGGGAGTTGGCTGAGATCGCAGGCGTTGCCGATGATATTGGCAGTAAAGAAGCTGAAGCGGGAGAAGAAGGAGTCGACGCAGATGCCGAAGCGGAGGCAGAAGATGCTGAAGCGGATCTACTGGAGGCGGTTGACGCTGCTGAGGCTAACAGCAGCAACTCGAGTGCTGGTGGTTCTTGGATGAAGTCAGAGAGTATATGATCCCCATTTCGCTTTCTTGTATGGCCCCTCGTTCGTGATCTTGCTCTTACTCTCCATCTGTTTTTGCGTCGCTCTCGTAGGAATATCGTGTATGTCCATATGTCCCATTTCAACTCTTAGGGCCCGGTCTGCTCGTCGAGATGTCAGTCCCTCGGGCCTGGGGTTGGCGGAGATTGAACTTGACAAAACCTAGCGCTGGAGTCTGCTCAGGGCGCTTGGGAATCGTCACAAATAAGTCACAGACATCATGGTGGGAAAGCGGCAATAGATACAAAGTAAATACATGCAAACTTCTGCTTTCGGTATTTCTTGTATTTCTTGTCGGCGACCTGAAGTATCCCGGCTCAGTAGGTGATATACTAGTCCAAAAGAGTTTAACATGTGGTACGTTGGTTTAGCGGTTTGCGCGCTTGAGTACTACTTTTTAGCACGGAAAGGTTGCGGGTTCGAGCCACGGATTGTCCTTTTTTCACTTCTTCGTCCTGCTATCTCACCACTAACATTCATTAATAAATAAACACCACAAGCTGTAGTACTGTTTATTGGAGGGAATAGATAATGCAGTTGATACAAGGTGCCACCAGGTATATTAACGCTGACATAATAATGTGACAGGAAGGTCCTAACCCACCCGCAAACCCCCTGGTACAGCAGACCAAACTGTCGGTTTGGAGTAGGTTTGGGCCAGGTTTGGTCCAACCGTGGGAGCCAAATTTGGCAGGTAGGGACTAACATCTCGACGAGCAGACCGGGCCCTTACGCTCTTACAAGTTTGCCTTATCTGGGATTAAGTTGCCACAAATTTCAAACTTCGCTCAGCCCTCAGTGTAGCTGCACAGTCCGATACATACCGCACAATTAGTACGGTACATTCCCTACACACAACTCGAACTCGGCCCAAAAGCTGGATTTATAGGGGTCGGGTGAAAATAAGAACGAAGTAGAAGCGTACGACAAGGCCACGAAGTCCAGTCATGTTTTCTCATTGACTCACTTCTGGGCTCGTATCGACAAGGAATGCTCTCGATGTTGTACGTCAGACGGTTTTGCATGCTCACATTTCCGCTTACGTGTTGCCAGCCTTTACGTCGCGTATCCGCCGCGCGGCTGCCACATTCAGCACCAGCAAGTTGGACGATATCCTCTCCGATATGCGAACAAGCATTGAGAGAATCGCCGACCAAGCTCAGATAGTCGAAGCGGTCCTCAACAAATCTGAACGTCGAGCTGCGGCCAAAGCACGAGCAGATAGCAGCAAGTTTCAAAAAAGACGTACAACTAGGGCAGAAAGCAGCGCAGGAGCACCGCGAGGTTCAGAAGGCTATACAAGCAGCAAAGTCTTTCTTGTCTTACTTCCGAGTTACCTTTGCGAAGTTGCCGAGTTTGATCGGGTCGTCCAATGGTTTAGAAACCGATTACCGAAGGCATAAAGATATCCACGAGCGTCGTATTGTGGGAACCTGCGAATGGTTAAAACGTACAATGACTGGAAGGATGGTTCGCGCAGCCCATCCGTGTTGTGGATCTACGCCCCCAGGGGCGGGAAAATCTTACCTCTGCTCAACAATTGTGGACTCTTTGCAGTCGGACCCCGATGAGTCCGCCGTTGCTTTCCATTTCTATGATTTCCAATAAATGTATTCCGCTGATGACACGCTTCGACTTCTTGGCGACCAATTCCTTCGATATTATTGGGGCCACACCGAAGTCCATTGCCTCCGAACTACTCATTCTTACCCAGCAAAATGCGTACTGCCAAGAGAATATCTGCGATGTCATTCTGTTCCTAGTCAAAGCCTCTCCAAAAGCATTCATCCTGCTTGATGGCCTTGATGAAGGTCTCAGTGACTCAGGGTGGGAGCGCACTGGAGTTAAGGACGTGTTGGACTTCGTGATTCGGCTCGCGAGTGAGTGCCCTGATAAAGTGAGAGTCTGGTGCAGCAGCCAGTATCGCCCTTACTTCAACGAGACCCTTGTCGGATTCACCACCGTTAACATCACCGATAACCCTCGACAAGACGTCACACGTTTCTTGCAGGTGGTGATGGGCCCTCGACGTTGGTGATCAAGTTCCTTTCCTCTCGAATCTAGTCTCTCGCGCAGGATTCAATTTCCTGTGGGCAAGCCTAATGATCGAAGATTTGCAGAAACGCACCACGAGCACAGCTGCGATGCAGGAGATGTTCTACCAAGACCAACTCCCAACGAGCTTAGGCGGCTACTATCGTGCGATCTTGAATCGCATCCAAACCCATCACCGGTCAATCGCATGGTATGATATCGAAACAAGTATAGCTTCATTCAGACTAACGTGTTGCCCAAAGCAGAATCTTTAGCATGGTCATGTTTGCCAAACGCCCTCTACGAGTCGAAGAACTCTCGGAAGCTGTGGGAATCCTATAAGCTAGAGATCCTTCTCTTACCACGCGAGATCTCCCGCAAGGGAAGATCCTTCTTAACCTATTTGCCCCCCCTAATCGAGGTTAAAGAACGGGGGGCACTAGACTCCATCGACAAAATCTGCTACATTTTCCACTCGACAGTCAAGGACTTCATTCTCGCGCACCCTGACGTGCTTTCATCCTCCAGCGACCCATCGATTGACCTTCGCAGCTCGCATTGACTCTTATACCTGTCACAATCTAAATACGCTCGACTATTCACAAGGGACAAACTCTCAGGGAATTGGAGAGACATCAACGGCGATTCCGTGGATGGTGTTGGTCATCGATTCTTACTCTACACTGCAAAGCACTGGGACAAGCATCTGGACGACATCCACGACTCCGCTACATGTAACAACCTGCGCTTCAGGATCACTTCTTTCATACGGTCTGTCCATTTCCGAACGTGTATACAGGCACAGAGCTTATGGGTAGACTCCCAATTTGCTGTCTTCAATCTAAGACGGATGGACGGTCGCTCGTACCTTTGCCGAGTCTTGCCCAGTTGGTTTGTGGACGACGACGAGGTTCGCGCTTTGTGGGAAGATTAATTCCTCCACGACTGGAAGTATTTTATTAGTTGCTAGGAGTGCGCTGGCGATTCTAACCACAGATGCGAGGTTATACTGTGTGTAGGCGATCTCACAAGATGTTGGTGGTCCGCACTGGGAACATCAAACTTCGCCAAGAAGTTTGAAGGAAGGTTCCGTAGTTTCAGCTTCCAGTCAGAGATTGGTCTTGGGGGTCACGCGGGCCACGCAATGCAAGCTTAGGAAGGTCGCGCAAAACGACGTTTTCCGACTTTCCGCTTGGTAGTTTCTTTCTCTCTTTTAGCTCGCCTCTTTGCTCAGTCCTGGATCGTAGTGCGGAAGCTATAGCGAACGAGATACCTAAGGAACTGATTTGCGACTATTGGTCATTTGACTCCTCGGAGGCACCTGTTTTGCGACCTCGATACACTATTCATCTTACCGATAATCACGACTGGAAGATCTACAACAATCCTCCAGACGACCAAAAACTTTTCAAGGAGATGGTACCGTTCGTAGCCTTTGTTAACGACTCCCAGACTCTTCGTATCGGGACCCAGCTATACGCTCGACGAGGAGAGAACTCGCTTGATGCTATCCAAGGTGAAAAAGCGACCGGTACAAAAGACACCCAGCATACGTAGAAGAAATCGCTAGGCGCGACGACATCGTCATTCTCGCATCTCGATTTAGGCTGAACAATCGCATCTTAGAACCATTCCAGGACGCGGAGACGATAGCGGATACCGAGGATTATTCTGAAGATGAATCTTTACGGATCCAGAGGACGACTATGAATCATGGAGCGAAACTTCGTCTGTTCACTCTGGCTCAGATGAAGAACAAGATTGGCACTCTAGCTCCGACTCCGACAGTGACGAATCGGCCGATGGAGCTTATTCTCTTCATGAAGCCAACAACTCTGAATCAAACGATGAGACAGAAGCTATAGTAGGACAGGCTGAGGACGAGGAGGAAGAGTGCGCGTGCGACTTAGAAGGAGATGTAGAGGGAGAGAGCGGAGATCCAAAAGTGTCAGTCATGCTTGTCGAACAAAGGTCCGCGAGTCGAGGTTCCACCACACTTGGGCGTCCATTACAGTCGTGGTCACGACTGGCGCGAACCCTAAAGATCTATTCAAGTTTTCGCGTCCTATTACTTTCAAGATGTATGATTCCCCTCCAGTCATTCGCCCATCCCATCCTCTCGCTGCTTGGCCGGTAGGCTGCGGTGACGATTTTGAAAGGGAGTCTCATTTTGTTCGATACCTCAGGCCTTCAAGTTACGGGAGGAAGCAGTTAGTGCTTATTCGTATTACTTTCCGTTTTGTGGCCTTTTTGTCTAGCACGTCGAGTATTCATGAGATGCCGCTTCTCTTCGTGCGGCAAGTATCTCCATATTGTCACGCTCAAGGCGAGGAAGGCGTCTTTCTGGGACTACCGTCACGCAGACCGCTCCAATCAAATTGGCCATAGTGGTCCTTACGTTCTCTCTGTCTTCTTAGAAGCCTTCCCAAGCACCACCGCAGCTAATCCACCGAGTACGGGTACATGTTGGCACGACATCTAGCTTGCAAGCGACGAAACTTCCCTTTACCTTCACGTGGCGCGGCGACCAAGTAAACGGGAGTTGAGCCCAGAGAATGGGCCGGCGACAATGCTCGATATGCACAGAACTTTGCCCTGCTGTTGGATGCTACATTCGCGAGCAAGATGACCTAGGTGGGTGGGGCCCTGCGCCGACGACATCGTGGAGACCCGGAATTCGGGAACCTTGTCAAGACGGCTTGAGAAATTCGATCCATCCGACAATTGCGACCGTGAGCGTTCTCTGGCTTGATACAAAACAATCACTCTGACCGAACCTACCGTATATTTATTAGACAAACATCGAATGGCTACATGTTCTTCCGTGCATGAAACATTGTATTAATGTGCTCTAGTCGGTATTGTATACTCCAAAGTTAAACCTATCGACCTTGTTTCCTGCCCCTCGGCTTCGTCTTCTGGTTCATTGAGATTTGTTCCTCGTCTAATAAGCCGACAACAGAGATATCATCGAATCGCTCAACCTCCTCTATGGCTAGCTTGTCTTGGGATTCCCATGCTCGCCAGAGTTCGTCGGCGTCTCCATCATCATCGGAAGGATGTCCATGGACAGAGGGCGTCGATAGAGTAGTCCCTGATTGTCGATTTCCGCCACGAATGATGATGCCTTTGTCCAGCAAGCTATCCCTCGACTGGCTTTCTTCGTCTTCCTCGGCAAATTCGAGCGGCGTTGCACCTGATCCAATATCGCCACCGCGAGGTGAACGTACTCGTTGCTGGAATTGGGTTCTGATGCGACCAATACCTTCGGACATATTATCGCTGATAGATCGTATGGGAATCGCGTTCCGAATGGACCTTGGCCCTGAACGAGGCGCACCGTTGGGTAACATGGGAAGCACTGGAGGAGCACGACCAGATTCTATGCCTGCGCCTAGGGCGGACGCCAAAGGTTCGTCGAAAGACGAAGACGCCCGGCGAACGTCACGACGAGGAGCGAACCCTTCTACGAAGGACTCGCTAGTTTCGGCCGCAAACGCGATGGCTTCGACCTCCCTTCTAACCTCAATCTTAGCACCACCGACGTCGAAACGATATCGTCGTATCAACGCATGATAATCTTCGCCGAGACTCTGGAAGGTAAACTGATGGGAGAGATAGATGGAGCGTGGAATTATCTTAGTAGACAGAGAGTGTATGGATAACTCTGCTTGAGCGAGCCAGCTAGTGACAGAAGGATGAGCGTCGATAAAACTGACGACAGATGATCGAAGCTTACTCGTTTTTGGAGACACGGACACGGGCCTGGTGCGAAGCAGAATCACTACGAACGGCGAGGGACTTGCGAGCGGGAGGCCTATCAAAATCCCTGCGCAGATTCCATGTAGCGGCTGTTCGCTCCTTGCCTACAAGCTCCACGGAAGCATCGTTACCAGGACTCGCCGGAGATCTAGTAGGCTGTAGATTAGAGATAGTATTGATAGCACCACCAGGCGAAGAGCTGAGCCGCCCAGCTGGTCCAATCTTCGGCAACGAAATACTTGTAGAACCTAGAATAGGAACTGAGGCAGGGAGCCCACGGAGACTAATGCCCTCATCGAGTGATTTTGTCTCAATGGTGACACGGCGGAGAGATAACATCCCATCCGCCGGATCGAAAACGAGTATGTCTTGATAGTTCCGTGGGCGGTCGGTTTGTCGAAGGGAACTGTAGTCGGATTCGGGGGTAGAACCCAGAGAGCCAACGTGCGACTGACGTGGAGAGGATACGGGTGCTGGCAAAAGATGGCTCGGGAGTGTTAGTGTCGAAGGCTTGAAGAAAGTGAATACGATGGGCGCCTGATGTTGATCCACCGCTAGTTGTTTCTGCGCCCTTAGCCTGACGATGGGGTGCACGTCAATAGACAAAGGTTGCTGAGAACTGAGATGAGCATAGTGTGCCCCACGGAGCGAATGATCACGCACCAGTTCGACTGTGTTTCTGACAGCTCCTGACAAATGGCTCATTATTTCAGGAGGACCGCCATACGGGTTGATAGCGAAGAGGTGTATTGTCCGTTTCCTCGTACCAATAGCGATCCAACGCTCGTCGTCCGCCCACTCCATCTCCTCTACGATAGCAGTCGTCCTTCCGCGCCTGAGATTGTAAACCTGGAGGGGCGGATCTTGCACAACTGCCAGTTCCCCGCGTGACCCAGTAGTTGAAGGGGATCTGCTGCTTCCGTGAGAGGCGGTTGTCATCTGCAAAGACGCCAAGTGTCGACGTTGAGTGGGGCTGGTGGGGGCGTCGGTGGGGGTTTCGGGAGATATCGTGACAGAGCGCCCAATCTTCCCCGACAAACGACGAATAACCATGCTCTTTGGTCGTAGTTTGAAGACCTGCAGAGTCTGGCCGTCTTTGGGAGAGACCAAGATGGAGGTGGCATCGCTGGAAAAGCGAAGGTCTGCGATAGGCTGATGCCTAGACGCGAGGAATTCAGAGATGATGGGAGGTGAATCGCGGCGAGGCGAGGATGGGCGAGAGGAAGGGGAACGTCGAGGCATGGATAACAGCGGCTTGAGGTCGACTACGGTGACATAGTAGCCTTTCTCTGTAATGCCGCCCTTTGTCACGGGTGCAACATCCTTCGACGAATCCGTTCCTTCACTAGCCGCCGACGAGGAAGAGGCCGTCGAATATCGCCGACCCCTCGCCGCACCGTCGCCCGTTCCACTGGCAGCGGGAGCGGATCTTGAAAAGAACTTGCTTGCGAAGCTCCCCACGGTACCACCAAACCGCCCGGGTCCTCCTCCTTCGTTCACTCCACCATGAGATTCATTTGAAGTAGCTGCTCTAAGCTGTTCTTCCGCTGCTGCCTTGGCGGCGGAGTAGGCCATGCCGCCCAGCGTACGCATCCCGCTCAGCATCGTGCCTCCCACCTTGCTGAGGGCGGTCTGACCCTGCGAGAGGGCCGTTGCGTTGACGGAAGGAACACTGGTGGGCTGATGGAGGGGAGACGTCCGGGACGCGGACCTAGCGCGTCCGGATGGACGCACGCCAGGATCTATCGCACGTTGAAGAGGGGGAGCCGGGGATGCAAATGCAAGAAGCCGGTTCGAAAGCGCGAAAACGGGACGGGGAGGTCCGTATTCCGCTGACCTGTCGTCCGTGAATTGAGATAATAATACAGATCCGATCTTGTTGGTGTTTATGTTGGTACTGATATTTGTATTCGACGTATTGTAGGAGGGTATGTTTGCGTTGTCATAAATAGGATGAAGTGGTGTCGTGTTGTTGTACAAGTTGGGCGGCGGAAGGGTGGGTGAGGTTGCTAGCTTGCGGGCGAAAGGGGCGAGAGACGAAGAAGCAATAGATGATAAAGTTTCCAGCGAAGTTGCCGATAAAATATGAAGAGTGGCAGGGTTCACCGTGCTCTGCGTAGAAGTCAGGAACACGATTTTCCGCCGATGAAGAGCTAGACTTACAAGTACAATATATGATTCATTGGCTTGGAAATGGTTAAGTCCGGGGAATACAAATTTGCGGACGATGCAATGTCTATACAGTGAATATATGATGAATGTTGGCTCGTCTTGAATCGTGGTGCTAGCATTGAAAGTTAGTAGATGTCGGTCTACATGATGAGGGGCGTACACAATGCCAATGACGGGTCTCTGCCCCTCGCAGACATCCTCTATGGAATTGTCGGGCGAAGGAAGCACAGCCGCGTGAGTCACTCTACCCCACGCCTCTTCGTGTCGCCTCCCATCCTCGCCGCTCAATAGGTCGTTGCTCGTAGTATTAAACACCTCTCTGACAGTGCTAAGGTCCGTGCAGTCCCATATCTGCATCCCGCGAGCGTATCCAAGTAAAAGTAGGAGTCTGTAAAGTGTGGTAGGCTCATCAAGAATACGAAAAGGAGAGGATCCGCTTACTGCTTTCCAGGTCTGACCGTATCCCACTTAGCCCACAAGACCTCGTCAAAATCTCTGCTTCTCGCATGCCCGGAACCGATACCGCCAATAGAGCCAGCCGCATCCGATGCGCCGCCCACACTCTTGGACGCACTGATGCCCCCCATCCCAGCGAGAATGCCGCTGACCTTAGCTCCTGCGCCCATGACCATCTCTCCGGCACCTGCGAACCCAGCGCCCCTCCTGCTCCGTGCCCCAATGGGTGATGTTAACGTTGGGCTAACGCCTTCGCCGGCGTAGGCGTTTGCGGCATAACCGCCGAGACTGGTGCTTCTAGAATGGCCTTGGAGGGCAGCAACGTCGCGCTCGCGTCGGGGATGATTCATATCGTCGTAACCCCGCCCCCAAGCCTGATGCCGACTTTCCTGGTCATCTTGTTCATCTTCTCTGCGGTATCCATAGGACGAGACGATCGTGGTATCGGCGAACGTGGTGTTTGATACTACGGCCGGAGACGGCGCCGCTTTGTAGCTAGGAGCATTTGATACGCGTATAGTCCGCTGCTTCGAACCTTCGAAGTAAGAGTCGGCCGGCGGTTGATGTCTGCGACACGTGGTAAGTAAGAGGTGTAGAATGTCCAAATATAGACTCGCACCGAGGTAAGCTGTCCTCTCGTCTATCTATCACAGGAGCATCCCATAACTTCAACGATGCTGGTGGCTCTGTAGGCCGCACCTCCTCCACCGGTTGGGACGACGTCGGATAAACTTCCGCACCCGGCTGCTGCGTTGCTGGAATGAGAGGTTGCTCCGAAAGCGACACCAGTCCCCGCTTGGGCTTCTTGCTTTTCTTCTTGGGGGCGGGGGCTGGTTCGCTGGATGGTTCATATGGGGCCAACATTGCATCGCCGCTGTTAGACGAGAGGGCCTCTGATATTGGAGGCGGCTCGAGAATGTCGTCCCGAAACGTGTTATCTTGTCGACTGTCAGTATTGTAGCCGAAAGATAAGCCATTCGGGCGCACCATTGAAACCAATCAAGTCCACCTCAGGTTCTACGGTCCCAGCTTCTTGGAAGTCAATGAAGGGCGGTTCTTCGGATGGTAAAACTGGCAATGAGGGGTCGAATTGAGGCGCAGGCGAAGACTGTGGGGGAGATGGCGCTGGCTCGTAGGCGGCTAACTCTTCTTCGAGGACCTTGGGCGGGGATGTGGGACTGTTCATGGGGGATACTCGAGCTGAATTGGAGACCGATACCGACGCTGATGTCCCCGAGTCCGCTGAGGTGTTCGTCGAGCGCTGTTCAGTAGACATGGGGGGAGATAGGTGTTTCTTTGACTTGCTGCGGCGTCCTCCATTTCCCTTTGGTTGCCTGAGCATGAAGTAAACGAAGTGGCTTTGGAAACGTTGCTTTCAGCGAGCAGTTCGCCTGGTACTGGCCTCCCCTGGTTCGAAACGCAACAGCTTTATGATGAACGTAACGTGAAAGGGTTCGAGGTAAAAGGTGGGGTCGTTGCAAGCGAATGCAAGATCCCTTGTTCGTCAATGCAAGGCCCCCTTGAAGGTGAGCTTGCCGTTGTTCTGCGGTGGTAGTGTTTGGGAGCAAGCCGAGTTTGGATGCCCTGGCGCGTTTGAGTCAGGACAGGCGCCTATTCCACCAGCCCCTATGCGAGTGGCCCCACAAACAGCTCTTCCCCATCGTTCTCATCTGTGACAGCGTCCACCGTTCATCCATGATCGAAAATCAAGCATCGTGCTCGACATCGCTTCCCCGCAATCACGGAAATTAATAGCAAATGCCTTGAAACTTGATCGGTTGATCTTCAAGGTTTCAAGGTTCAGACGAGGCGAGAATGGTCTGGATGAAGCAAGTCATGAGACCGATAAGAAGCCAAGTCGGCTACTATCGCAGCCTTCTGAATGACGGTTTCCGGACGGAAAATAAAAGTTGGACGAAACGCTCGAGCCGTTGGCGAGAATGAGAGTATATGTGAACCAAGCCTGTACGTACTCCCGCCGACTTATACGATACCACATATTTCTTCTTACTCGTCGATCACCGTCGTCCCTCTAGTGCATATTCTCTCGGGAGCCCCAAAGCTCAGAGAATTTCCTCGGCGCTTCCTACCGCTGGAGGAGTCTTGGTTCATCACCGTGAATCGTTCCCATTACCGCAACACGGTGCACACCCCAAGTACCAACACCGCGGAGTTCGTTCGACCTCCGGGTCCACTTCCCTCGCACCTGAACTCGTTGCGCCACAACTGCGAACCCAAACGACGGCGTACCGGGACTACACAATACCATCAACGGCACACGCACCTGGGCATAGCACGCTACTGCGTATCCCTATCCCACAGCCCGACAGAAGACCACCAACGTTTCACGAGCCCGTAATACCGTCAAAATGGCCTACGACGACGACGACGACGATGGAAGATGCAGATGGGGGATGCCTGGGACACTGAGACGCCAGTAGCATGCCGACGCGAGACGAACGAGTGAGGGAATGACAAACCTCAGTCGTTGGAATAGGCGTAGGAAGGGGATGGACGAAGTACGGAGGCAGGGAGGGTCAGCTAGGCACTGGCGTCGACGATGATGAGACCAGACAGCGAAGGAGAATGTGAGTACCCGTCTCGAACTAGTGGAAATACACTCACCACAATGTCCCCCCACAGCGCCCGCTCTGCCCCTCACATTTCCCCGCATCCCGTCTACGCCACTGCGCCCGTCCAACGACCTTGCACCCACTCCGTGCGACGCCCTGACAACGCCTACAACACCCCCGCGTCTTCTCCGTCTGCAACCCTCAGCGTCGATAACATTGTCCCGAAGCACACGCAGCGTCGCCCCAGCACCCAACAACGGTGACGACACTTAGCCTGCTGGAGTAGCGAGGACGTAAGGACGGTGGGGAATGGGCCAAGTTAAGAAGGGATAGGACGGCGAAGTGCTGGCGTAGACGACGACGACGACGACACAGCGCAGGGCTGTAGAAGGTGGGTCCCAGCAAGTCCAGAAACCTCGCCACTCATCACGTCATCGCCCCAGCAGCATCCACGCTCCCCTTCCCGCACCCCATCGCCGACGTTATGCACCATCGACCAGGTCTCGTGGCGTACCTACCCCCCTTCCACTACTGAGACACATCGGGACCACGCCCCTTTGTCAGTGGAGCGCCTCGTCGCAAGGCTTCAACGCCACCGAATGTGTTGATGGCGTATCGTCGGTATATGTTGACGACTTAGGGTTAGGGTTAGGGTTAGGGTTAGGGTTAGGGTTAGGGTTAGGGTTAGGGTTAGGGTTAGGGTTAGGGTTAGGGTTAGGGTTAGGGTTAGGGTTAGGGTTAGGGTTAGGGTTAGGGTTAGGGTTAGGGTTAGGGTTAGGGTTAGGG